AAAAAAAAAAAAAAACGCTGCAGAGTAATCTATTACATACTTTGAGTTAATAGAAAAAAAAAATTACATTAATTTAATTAAAAAAGTGAAACTTACGCATGACTTCAGATGAACCAGTATCTAACCAGTTACGAATTTGAATGAATTCAGATCTTAAACCACATTGTTCAAATAAATGTTGTTGTTTTAATCCATGTCTATATAAGTGATCAACTAAGTACCAAATTTCTTTAGGTACTGGATATGGATCTAAAGCCAAATTACTTTTATTGTTTTCCTAAAAAAATATATGATTAATTGAGCTTCATGAATTTTTTTATAGATGTGGTCACTAAAATTTTAAATTTGTCAATTTTATGTCATCATCACAATGTTGACAGAATATAATCCAAATAGAAACCCTTTATCCAGTAGCATATTTATAGGAAGGGAAAGTGGAACAGCTACTTTCTAACCACATCTTTATAAGACACATTTACTTATTTATATTTTAAATACTTATAGATTAATATTAATAATTTATACATTTATACAAAAATATTTTTCTTATCAGTGAACAAATAATTAATACAATTTCATTTAAAACCATATAATTTGATTCTTGAGTATAAGTACATACTTATCTATTAATCTCCTAACTAATAATCTCAAAGTCTTAGTTAAATTAAAACTCATATGTTACTTATTTGTAAAAATAAAACATAATAGAAAAAAAATTTATATGAGAGGCAAAGTAAAATAGATTTTATATGCTATTTAATATTTAATTAACATAAGGAAGATGGTCTTACAGTTACTATAATATTTAAACTTATAAAAATTATAAGTTGAATTCTTCACATAAGCTAAGTTATATTTAAATATAGGTGCATAAATAAAAAAAATGTATTATTGATGCATCTATTTTCTTTCGCTATTAGTACTTTTAGACTAATTAATTAAAATAATATTAAAAAACTTGTTTTATTCTGAGTGCATCACTAAAAAAAAAATTGTCATCAAATTTTTATTTTATTTATGTAAGTTTTGCTATAAAAATTATTGAAATCATAATATTGAATGCTACCCCTCAAAAAGTGGTGTGGTGCGATGGTCACACTAGTTGTTGACAAAACTCTAGAGTTCAGCCGCGCCTACCGACATAGGTGAACAGATAGGTGACCATACATGATCATGTTCCCAGTGCAGAAAGCAATGGGAAACCACTGCACTTAGTTTTCCCAGGATTGCCTTGTCAGAACAAGGCAAGACCTTTGGTAAAAAAAAAAAAAAAACCCTCAACATTAATATCTTGGATACACTACTGTCTATATATGCAATTAAAGTTATTAAAGTGTCATAATAATTAATTTTAAGTATTAAACTTCAAGCTCATAAGAGAGAATATTTTTTTGGTAACCTCAAATTTATTAAATCATATATTCTAATATTAAACTTAATGTCTAAATAATTTATTTCTATAAATATGAAATTTATAATTTACTAACTAATTCCACAAGTTTTCCTGGTGGTATTTCTCTGATTGGTACTTTTAAGTAACATAATGTTTCTAGAGAACATCCAAAACAACTACGTTCATAAGAACCTAATAACATAACAAAAAATAAAACTTTTTATTACTAAATTGCTTTAAAACACATGTATACTGAAATTTTATTTATTCCATTATTTATTACTTTATAATATTTATTGTCACTGTAAATTAATAATTTTTTTACATTAAAAAGTTAATACGACAAGCTTATATATAAGTAAAATTAACTGATACAAGCTAACAAACACGATATAATACTACTCAAAAGTGTTATATTATAAAAATCGTTATACAAAGTGTCCCACTAAATTTTGATATCTGTCAGAATTTTTATCTAGCAAATATTTTACATTTCTTTTTTTTAAATAATTTTTAATTTTAAAATAAGATAAAAGCATATTTTTATTATTTGTTAGTCATAAGAAAAAGATAAAAATTTTATTTTTTAACTTTTTCAAAATTTTAAAATAGCTATATTCTAGCTCTTTTATAACCAAAAAAATTTTTTTGTTGGGTCAATAAAAACTTTAAGATAATTATTTATTCAGTTATAAGCATTATAATACATACAGTGATAATGTAACACTATTATTATATGTACTATAAATATATAGCAGTTCAAATTTTACTCACCCATACTACATACCCACCTTATGTATTAAAATGTTTGTAAGTAAATAAGTACTTATCCTAAAGTTATAGTCGCAACACATTTGTTTTATAAGAAAAAAGGTAAAAAAATAGATACTTTAAAATATCTATTTTTTTTAGTGATAAGTATTAAAATATAAGTTTTTAACTTACTCGAAAACTATAAAATTATTAAAAAAAAAATTAAAGCAAAATATTTGTTGAATAAAATATTATTAAAGATTTCAAAACCTGGTGAGACACCTATTTATATATAAACTGGTTTTAATCCCGAGATACATAATTTTATATCAATTTATAGAATATAATATGTCATAAGTATTACTTTGAAAAAACAAATGAAATCAATATTATTAAAATACAGGGTGGCCCACCACTCACTGACAACTTAAATAACTTTTGATCCAGTTAATATTTTTAGTTGATTTTTTTTTTAAATAATAGTTATACGTTAGGTCTATAGCTATATCTCAATAATTAATTTTTTTATATTTTATTAAAAATATTAATTATTTTAAAATTTTAAATAAAATGTAAAAAAAAAATCTAAGATAGCTATTTTGTAGAGTAGAATTTAAGAAAAATTTTAGTAAAAAAATATCTTATTAATATTCAGTAGTAAATATTCTGTAGCGTTTTGAAGTTTGTGAAAATTTGAATTTTCATGTACTATTTTACGGTATTAAACATTGAAATACGTATTGAGAAAAGGACAGAAGAAAACGCTATCTTTTCAATATACTTTTGAATGAGAGTGATAAGTAATAATTGCCTTATCTAATTTCTTATCATGGTATTAATGCCAAGTTTGTAATGTATACACATTATCATCATATGTATACACAGTAATCATGAAAAGATAGCGTTTTCTTCTGTCCTTTTCTCAATACGTATTTCAATGTTTAATACCGTAAAATAGTACATGAAAATTCAAATTTTTACAAACTTCAAAACGCTACAGAATATTTACTACTCAATATTAATAAGATATTTTTTTACTAAAATTTTTCTTAAATTATACTCTACAAAATAGCTATCTTAGATTTTTTTTTACATTTTATTTAAAATTTTAAAATAATTAATATTTTTAATAAAATATAAAAAAATTAATTATTGAGATATACCTATAGACTTAACGTATAACTATTATTTAAAAAAAAAATCAACTAAAAATATTAACTGGATCAAAAGTTATTTAAGTTGTCAGTGAGTGGTGGGCCACCCTGTATTATGTACAAAAAATTTGTTTGTAATTGATGTACATTTAAATTGTTTTATTCACCTGTAACTGTAATAAAAATATCTTTGCCTCCTTCTAAATGTAAAACTAATATATCATATAATTGATCTTGACCGCTGTTCATCTTATAGGCAGATCTTTTGTCCACTAAAACTTCTAATGAGACATCACATTTTTCTCCTAGTTAATTAAAAAATATTCATATAAATTAAAAATGTTTCATAAATAGTCTTCTTCTTCTTCCTCGCCTTAATTCCAATTACTTAGGGTCGGCCACCCTTATCCTAAACTTTCACTTGACACGATCTCCCACGTCATCAATGCTCACATCAGCTGTCCTCATATCGCATTATAATAATATTCTAATATCCTCATTTCATAAATAATAAAAACTTAATATTTTTACCCAGACAAAAAAGTGGTTAGGACCATCAAATGGTATTGATGTCAGTCATATTAAAATATAATTTACATAAAAAAGTTAATATTTGAGTTTATTGTAAAATTTAATCAAAATTATTGTACTTACAAAAAAGTAAAAATTTTAATAACATTGCCAAAGCATGCACATTGTAAAAATGTTCATTCAATGAAGGATTCAACAATTGGGGTGATAAGGGCGGCCCTGGCATCAATGAAATAAACATATTTTACCCAAATATATGAAATATGAAACCTAAAGAACTAGACACTAAATCCTATCATACTAAGTAACTCTTGGACCAAATAGTGTATCAACAAGCAATATACTGAACTTCTTAATTACAACACAGTTAGCCAGCCAATCTTACTTAATTTTAAAACATATATTTGAAAAACTTTTGCAAATAACTTAACACATAACTGTGAACCAATAAGCTGTGATGCTGTGATTTTTTAAAATAAAAAAACCCAGCACAGGGGGGTCGCGGCACAGTGGTGACGTGGCATAGTTGGATCAAGTATAATGATATCTGACAGTGATTAAAATCACTATCAAAAATAAACGCTTCGATGCAAATCTTTAGATAGTGTTTAATTTTAAAAAAATTGGTGTTTTATTCCAAAAGCTACTTGATCTGCTGGTTCCTTATTAATATCTCGATTAAGATAAAGTATGTCGAATGAAAAAGGGTTTATTAAAAAATATTATTTCTCATAAAAAAATTGTGTGGATCCATAAACTTTTCAATAAGTTATAGCATTATAAAGTTAAAAAAATATAAAATCGAGAAATCGAGAATTTTCACACGAAAATAGCATTCGGTAGCCATTTTCGCCGTGAAGACAAGTCCAGAGGTCAAATTTTTTTTTTTCAAATTAAAGTATATTACATTAGCTTTAATTTAAGATATATATAAAAGTGTCAGACCTTCCGGAACACTTTCAAAAGTTAAGTTAAAAAAGTTCTACTTTCTATATGCATTTTTTATATTTGAAGCCTCCCCGTATATAGGGAAATAGTCTGATTTAAAAAAAAAGTATATCCAATGAAAGATGTATATAAATACTACTTCTCATGAAAAAATTGTATTGATCCATACATTTTTTAAAAAGTTATAGCTCTTTAAAGTAAAAAATGTAAATTATAAAATCGAGAATTTTCACACAAAAATAGCATTCGGTAGACGTTTTCACCATGAAGACAAGTCCAGAGGTCAAATTTTGTTTTTTCAAATTAAAGTACATCACATTAGCTTTAATTTAATATATATATAAAAGTGTCAGACCTTCTGGAACATTTTCAAAAGTTAATTTTTTATGAAAAAGTTGACATTTTAAATCCCTCCTTGTGGGCAGGTTAAGGGTTAAATTTATGAAAAAAATATACCAAATGATAGGTAAGGACATCAAGCATCTATATAAAAAAAAATTATATTGATATGTTCATTTTTGAAAAAGTTACGGCAGTTTTTAGTAAAAAAAATTGAAAAAATTTTGAAAATTAGCGATTTTTAAATTTGTAATTTTTTTGGAGGTTTCCCCCATTTACGGGGAACGAGGGAAATTTTTTCAATTTTGAAGAGTAATGTCTTCGACTAGATACGATTTGTGATCTTTTGACGTATCGTTAAAAGAAATCCGTTCAGTGAGAGCTGAGAAAAAGTGGTAACAGACAAAAAAAAAAAACAACACATCTTAGTAAAATTAATACCTTCTCAGCTTCGCATCGAAGCTAAAAAATAATAAAAGAATAGCTTATTATGTGTAAGAATTTTTAACAGTGGTAATTATCAAAATAATACTATATGGACAGACTAAATTAATAGATATATCGGTGATTTAATGTGGTAAAACCATAGGAATCTATTGATTGTCCCATTTTTTGGAGGGCTAAATTAAATATTTTCCTTTTCAAAAATAATTTTTATATAACAACGAATTTAATTTTACTGCACTTTTAAAGGGATAAACCCCCCTTTATGATTTTCTACCTTACACCATTAAATATCTTCCAAAATGAATGTATAATATGTATTATTTATGTTAAATATATTGTGTTTATAAGATTAGACTTTATAAAAAAAACATCCACCTCCTAGTAAAAGATTCTGGATCCAACATTGTATTCATTTTTATAACAGTTCAATTACCAAATTAAGGCAAATATTTTGCGTAAAAAAGGTGGTTTTGTACTCATACATTTTTTTACATCCTTACCACCATTAAAACTACATAAAATTACCAGGATCAATGAAACTCATAAATGGTTCAATTTGTAACCATTCTTTACAGTATGTGGAATCGTCTAATTTTCTAATAAATTCAAACTGTACAGGCACTTGTCCTGTATTTGCAACTGTTAGTTGTTTATTTTGAGGTTCCATAAAATGAACATTGTCAAAAATAATTTCAGTATTATCAACCATAACTTGGGGTAAAAATTCATTTTCAACTTTATCAAGTTTTTTCATAATATCCTCATGGATTTTTCTATATTTAACGGAATCTACAACTTTAACCTTAAAAAATAATTAATAAGATAAGTATTAAAATAAAATATCTATTTTATATACATACTTTAGACTCAAATAAAGCACTAACTGGTTTATGATCACTTATCAACAAATTTGGATGACTTCGATAATTTAGTAGTTTAATTGAATTTCCTAGCCACAATATGCGATCACACCATGCAGGAGTTCGATTTTTATCACTATTAAAAATAACATATATATATTATTAATTTAGTGTATCACTAAGAAATATACCTGCTATCCCACTCATTAGTACCAGGGTCATACTTATAAGTTGGAACAAAATTAATTGGACCTTCTTTATAACCTTTAAAGACATTACCAATTCGGTGTTGTTGTTTAAACTGATCAAACTCTAAAATAGTTTTTAAATTATTTTTGTTCACCATTTCTTTAACAGAATTTGCTGACATTTCTGTTATTCTATAGTTAAGGTCTCCAAACCAAAACACTTGACTGCAATAAAATAGCATTGTTATCTTGAATTTTTAATAAAAAAAAAACTAAACATTTTTTACTTATGATCTTTAATTGATTTGGGAGGTGTAAAGTTAGAAAAAACCATACGAGAGCAAATATTATGATAGTCTTGATTCCGCCTTTCATATTCTTCAACATGTGCTGCTAAATGTGAGTTAATAAAGCAAAATGATGTGTTATGAAAATCCATTCGAACAGCAACTCCACCTTTATTACCCTGGAAATTAATTTGTTTCAATGAAAAGAATTATCATGCACTAAATAAAACATTAAATTATAATAGAAACAATAATCATGTTTTTATAATTAAGGAATCAGTAAACAAAAACTTAAAAAAAAAAATACAATAATTCAAAGTAATTTAAAATAATGATTAAAATCTATACTCACTAATTTTCCCATGATTCCTGTACCTACAGAATCTGTTGCAACATTTTTTATATGATCCATATGTTTTTTTTTTACAAAAACTATAAGCATCATACCAACCAATCGGACCAATGATACTTTCTTATAATTTCCACTAACTTCTAAACTTTTAGTAACAGCATGCCTAATACAGAGATGTAAAATAATTTTTTTTTAGTTAAAATTTATCTTAATAACTTAGTTTAGTACTTTATTATTTTTAATAAAATATACCCATTATACATTTATTAATGATGAAATCAATGAACTATTTTAGAAGTACAGAAAGGTTTAGAATAATTAACATAACCCAGAAATATCTTAAAAAATACATAAAAATTAATAAATGTAACTTTAATTAGGTTTTAAAAACTGCCGATTAATAAATATTATTTATATTTTTTATTTAATACATCTTGACAAATAATAGAACTGAATATTTTTTACTTAATGAAAACAAAATAAATCAAATGCATTATTAGTTAATTCTTGTTCTAATTTTACTTTGATCTTTTATGAAGTGATTCTTTAACTACAAAATATCTTCAAAAAAATAACAGATATTCACGTTTTATTAATTTATTAATAAAAGTTCAATTTTTAACTGTTTTATAGGACAAATTAATTTTTACTGCCATTCCTTATATTTTAAACTTATTAAAGCTTTTGATTTTCAAATGATAATCCCATTTTTTTTTATTTTAACTTTTGTATTATTTTATTTGGTGTCTCAATGAGTATTGCTATATAAACTTTTGGGGCAATTTATAAAAACCTACTTATTTAAAAAAAATACTGTTGCACTATCATGCCATATATTGATAATCATTATTAGTTTATAAAAATATGATTGATCATAAAAAAAAACAGGTATATTTTACATTTGGTAACTATATGTTGATATGTTGTATTTATAACATAATAGGTGTACACTGGCTAAGAAGCTAACTTTTTGTATTATGGCTAGAGATTCATTTAAGTCAAATAGATTTAAAGAACAAATTCAAAAATATAACTTATGTTTTTACGTAATATCACAACATGAAACTACTATGAACTGGTACCAATTATTTAATATCTAAAATTTAAGATCTAAAAAAGATACTGTCTTTTAACAAATAAGTATACTTTCTTATTATATATATATATATATATAAATTTTTTTTTTTTTTTGATAAATGTAGAATATTTAGATTACTTTGACTGGGCAATTTATGCAAACTATCATCATCATTCAAAAATATAAAACTATTAAGATTTTAAATTATGTTTAATTATTTATTTAAACACAAAAATAATTTTATACATTTATTAAAAATATTTCTGTTACTAATTACAGCAAAAATTACTGTTATGACACTTTAAGTAGCACAATGTTTTAGCTTTTTTACATTTACATTTGTATGTTTTTTTTAATCATTGAGTTGGACAAGTACAATGATTATAATCTTGTCCTCTTAAATTTGAGAAGGAATAAACTACTTCACATAAATAAATTACTTTATTTGGTACATCTTGAGCTTTAACTAATTTTTTTTACAAATTCTAAATTGATTTCTACTGTATAGTTGTTGCAGTTTTCCTTCTAGTGTACCAATTTTATAAAATTCATAATCATTCATTTATTATTATAAAATAAGGATTCTATTTAAAAATGGACTCATATGACAATAATCAGTATGCTACTAATAAAATGCATTATAGTAAACATATAAGTATTTACTACAACATTATTATATTTTATTATTATAATAAAGTCAATATTATTATAATAGTAGTAGCATCAGATATTTATAAATATGATATGATACACATTGTACAGTACTCCATTGATAGGTTAAAGTTGAGTTTCAGTTACATTGCCTGTAAATCTACTTTGACTGTAAAATATATAAAACTAAAGGTATACCACAAATTTTGAAGAATCCAAAGGATACAGTGTGAGAAAATCAAGTGGAGAGAAGCATTAGGTGTTTTGTCCAATATGAGAATATTAGTGAGGCTATAACCAATTATGTTGTATGGTCAGTATTGGACCGTGAACATTAAAGTAAAATATAGAATGATTATAGCAGAGATAAGAATGCTTAGACGGACGAGCAAAGTAACAAGCAAAGATAGAATAAAGAATGAATATGTAAAAGGAAGCATAGGAGTAGCATTGACCATATATAAAATTTAAAAAAATAGTTTGGTTGTACAATAAAGAGAGATATTGGAAGCTGTAGGATCGGTTATGGAAATAAACATTGAAAGGAGCAAAAAAGCAAGACAAAAGAAAGGTGGTTGGATTTAGGTGAAGGTAAATTTTAAAGATCCATAACTAATTAATTAAAATATAAAAAATTCATGTTTTAATTAAAAAAACCCAATGGTGTAAAAAGTCTTTTAAAAATTAAAAGTTGAAAAGAGTTTAGGGAATAAGGGTTGGTAGTAGAAAATTAATTTTTTCTGTAAAGCACCTCGATAAACTATTATGGTAAACCAATTTTTTTTTGGCAGGTTTTTATTTTTGAAAACATTTTGTGAGGCATAGTTGTGGAATCATATATATACTTACAACCATTCGTCTTCTCGGGGAGAATCATTGAAAAGAAATGCTTCTTTGCTAAGATCAAGTTCTTGAAATCCTATAGCATAAATATCAGGAGATTCTGGATCAGAAACTAGCCAGTCATTGAGTGATATTGTAGCAGATTGGCCATTGACATTCCAAGTTCCAATAAAAATTCTAAGTAAATAGTAAAATTTAGAAAATTATATTTCTTTGCATAAGAATAGATAAAAACCTAAATATTTCTTCATAAGTATAATGTTTTTCATTTAAAAGCATCTGATGTTGCACAACACTTTCGCGTGAATTAGGTGTATGAGTACTACTTGAAAGCAATACTTCATTGTCCACCATAACCATCTATTTAAAAGATAAATATAATAAAATTTGTTTAATAATTTACTATAGAAAACATTACATTAGCTGTGATTTTTGAATTAATATGATTTTTTTCTCCATTTAAATTCATTAATACTCCAAATTCCAAATCAATATCACTAAAATGGTACTTTTTAAGCCAAAAAAAATCTAAAGACTGATGATTTATCAAATAATCTATTAATTTATACAAAAACTAATTAAGAATCTTCATATGTGTTAGAATTTAAAAAAATTGTCTTACAATTCATAGCTCTGGAAATCTCATTAAAAAATTGGCTTGTAACATCACCTGATTGCATTCCAACAAATATTTTGATATCTTTAGAAGATAATGTAATACATATGTCATTTTCAGTTCTATCAGAAATTGTATCTAAAATAAATAATAATATAAGTTTAAAAAACATTAACCTTAATGATTTTGCAAATGATATGTATATGACGATAAATTTAAATTGAATAATAAGTTTATTTTTCTTAACATTAATTTGATATATTAGTATACTGATAATTGAAGCATAAATAATATAATAAAAATCAAGTAATATACTTGCCAACATCACATTTAAAATCATTATCTATTGGTAAAACAAAATTAGTAGTAAGATCAGTGAAAGCTCTTGGAGGAGTTTTTGATGATGTAAAAATAAATACACCAAAAGAAGAGTTTCGTTCTACCAAAGCTATAAAACGTTTCGTTTTGGGAGACCAACTTTGTAACAGTACTCCTTCGTGAAACTGTAAAAATAAATGAAATAACTAACAAGTAATTCATTAGAAAATTATTCATATTACCACCACAACTTTATCACCAGTATTTAATTTGTCATTTAATATTCCTTCCAGGTCCATGTTATATATATTACTATTTACAACTACATATTTTTTTATATGAGCTCTTAGTAAATAATAAATAAAAATACTCTAATAATTAGAATTATAAATACTGGTACTAGTCAGTGATCAACAAAGTTTTTAGTAAAATTGATGAAGTCTTTAATAAACTGTTACGTAAACTGTTTACTAATAATTTTTACTTTTTCATAACAAATCGTTGAACATTGTTAACACTTAATAATAATACTGATAATAATTTGTAGATGTTTATGATAATAATAGATAAGATCTTATCTATTCTGTGGTTAATTTAGAAATATATTTTTTATAACTGGGATGATGAAAAATCATAGATCTTAGTAGCTTTGTTTATTTCTTATTATCTGTGTTTATTAATAATTCTTTTTAATACTCGTGTATATTATGATATAACGATAGACGTTCTGCGGAATAGGATACGAAGAATCGATTCCCCAAGATAAAAATAATAACTTGGTTGAAAATACAGAATTTATTTCTAGACCATCAAATTTTGTATTAACAGTACACTTCTTTAAAAATTAATTAATTTAAGAAAGTTTTTTAAATTTTTAAACGCTGGTTATCATGGTTTTCTCATTACTTTTCAAATTGAACTAAACACTAACAAATTTTTTTTAAAATTTGGTAATTTAATACTTTTTCCTCTAGATATGGTAAATAAACCCAAATTTTTTCTCATTAACCTCTGTTAAGATTGTTTCCGTCTAATCGAAGATTTGTTGAAAGTAGATTTTATTGTAATAATAATATAAAATAGATTTTATAACTAGCTAATCATAAATAACTTAAAATCATAAGTAATTTTTTATGAAGCTTATCAAAAAAAAATCACAGATATAGATTATAAATTATTTATATCTATAAAGAAAATAAAGTGTGATAATAATAGTACTACGAACCGATACCTAATTGAACCATAGAGTAATATTACTCTACGATGGACCATGCGGCCATTACGTTTACATGGCCGCCAATATTTATCATGTATGGGGCGGGTTGCGCTGCATCTGGTGTTAATATTTGTAAACAAAATAATATAAAATCAGATTCTATTTTTAGGAAAAAAACATTAAAAGCGGCTTTTGCCCGTCAGTTGCCGGTATCCAATATTGGTCTGCGTTCACCCTGGTAGAGATTATATATGTAATATTATATAAAATTAATTTATGAACTATAAAAAGCAAAAGCTTTACCCCAAACTAAGATAAATACTTAGATATGGAGGTGCCCGCCTTTATTGCCTCCATTTTAAAATACCCATTTACTACCAGACTAATACAAAATACATACAACCCAATTTAACCGGTTAATAACAAACAGCAAATCGTTGTTTATATTATAGCAGTACGACGATTTGCTGTTTAGTTATTAACCAACTGTTGATTGAATTGTTAAGTACCAACTTATTTAAATATTCACACCATGGTATATTTTTGGTGGTAAAACGCTCATCAATGAGAATGGTATTTACGTATACTGTATCATTATTAATAAGAAAACTAAAGATTTATCATTAACTATTTTTGTGAACTCTAGAATGCACAGAACTTTAATCTTTCGTTTGTGAACAATGAAATTATCATTTGTTTTGTTATCGAAGTCTTTCTATATAGCTTAATAGACAATAAAATATACATAAAAAAGGATTAATTAGTGTTGCATAAAATTTAATTATGCCCAAAATATTTAATTAATTTTATTATTTATATTAATTATTTAAATTAAGGTGAATGATTATGTCAAAGGAATAATACCTAAAATACTTAATAATATGAAACCATTTCGTGTAGCCATCGAGGGAAATGTCGGTTCCGGAAAATCAACATTAATTAAATATTTTAAAAATTTCAAAGATGTTGAAGCAAATTTAGTAAGTTATTTAACTTTTTAAAAATAATAATATTTTATGCAGAATTAAGAACCGAAAAAATTTTGGTTTTTGACAATTTTTCTTATATCTAGTAAATTAGATAATGTATATTCATTTTTTTTAGTATTGAAAAAATGTTAACAGTAAACAAAAATATTATTTTATATTATTATGAGATCTTAATTGAACTTTAAAGTTTAAAAAACTAAATTAATCGAAAAAATTTATTTGTTAATTTTGGTTTTTAAATTTTATAAGGACAAGTTTTAAGTATGATTAAGGTTTAAATATGATTTTACAACACTTATGGTTTCTATAACTATTAACCTAACAAATTGTTTGAAAAATATAATGTAGATCAACTATCTTACTAGATATGATAAAAATTTTGAAAAACCGATATCATTTCAGTTCCTAACCCTGTATTATGTATTATTGAATTATACCTTCATTATAACTCTTAAGCTACATATGGACTTTTAAATTGATGTTTGTTTTGGAATTTTTGTAATATAAAAAGCCGTAATGCATATTTTTGTTAAAATATAAAAGGAACCAATAGAGATGTGGCGAGATGTTAGAGGCCATAATTTGCTCGAACTTACATATTCTGAACCTCACAGATGGAACTTTGCATTTCAACATAATTTACAGCTAAGTCGTCTTAAATTACAATCTAAAAAGACAGAAAAAAAAGTTCAAATTTTCGAGCGATCCTTACAAAATAATAGGTATTTCAATAAGCAAATTGTTTTTAAGTTTAAAAAATAAATGATCCATTTTTTTTAATTTTTACTATTTCTAGTAGAAATATATTTACTAGTATCTGTCCCATGGTAGATGAACTAAGACATTCTTCCTGCACTTGGCGCTCAATCTAAGAGACTTAGTACTGTGCTCTATTTTTTGTTCATTATTTTGATTTTTGATACTTTATTTTCAGTAACTTAAAACCCTTTATATTAAAAATTGTCATTTTCATTATTAGATATAACTAGAGGTGATTTTATAGGGATGTTACCTGATATTAAATTACTTATAATAACAAATTTATCATAAAAGTTGGCAAAATTCACTTAACATCACCTAAAAACAATATCTAGAATCGCCCCTGGTTGTAACTTTATTTGAAATTTAAAATTAATAAGCATTAACTAAATACTACATAGTACTGATTTTTTCTTAGATTTTGTTTTGTAGAAATGGCTCATGATAGTGGAATATTATCTACTCCAGAATATAATGTTATGTGTGATTGGTATGAGTACATTGAAAACACTGTTGATATAGGATTGGATCTTATTGGTATGACTCTAAATAAAATTCCATTATTATATTTTATAATAGATTTTAATTAATATATCATATTAGATAGTATTCAGATTAATTAATTGGTGGACAATAACAACTTTTGGATCAGTGCTTTGGAAGTTATTTTCATTTTTATAGCTAGGTGGAATGAAGAGTATTTGGAAAGTTACTAGTGATATAAAATAATCACACTTGCATTTCATCTCTATACAATACTATAAAATACTAATAACACCCAAAATACTGGTTCAAAAGTTGTTATTGACTAGTCATTTTCTTAAGATTATTTCCTATTTTATAAGCTAGTTTAACATGTGTATTGCTATTTGAAAAAGTAAAGTTGGTACTCTTATAAATTATAAGGGGCAATTCTAAAAACTAATAGCTGACATTTTAAAAAATTTATGTAACTAAAAAAACCAACAAATTTTATTTCAATATTACATTTGTTTTGCGAGTAATTGAGTATTTTATTATAAACCGATCATACTGTATATGTATGTATAATGAACATTGTTTATTTTAAAATGTTTAGTTTATCTAAGGAGCTTACCTGATACTGTCTTTAAACGTATGCAACGTCGTAATCGTCCAGAAGAGCGCTCAGTTAAAAAGAGTTATTTAGAAAAATTGCATGTATATTATGAAAAATGGCTTATGAAAGACAATTTATGTAATTTTCCATATTCTTTGTTGGTAATAGATGTAAATAAAGATTTATCAGATGAAAATCTAATTAAAATTTATAAAAATTATGAAGATCAGATTTTAGGTAAAACGCCAATATTATCTTAATGTAACATAATTATAAAATAAAATTATTATTTAAGTAAAATTTATTTTAAAAATGTAGTTACATTATTATTATTTTTAATTGTGAATTAATTAATGTCAAAATACAATAATATGTTATAATAATTTATTTCTATAACTTAGTATTGTTTATATGTGAAGACTTAATATATATATGTAAATAACTAAGATCTTTTTTTATAAAATTTTAATTTAGCTAGATATTTTTAATTTTACGAGAATCTATTGAAAGTTGTTCAGATTTATTATTTGAATCAAATCTTAGTGATAAACTTCGATCCTCTATACCTGCCTTTGCAGTATACATACAAGCACAACATGATGGTAATCTAAAACTTTCATAATATATTTCTTTTGTGTCTTTTATTGCTACTAATTTTCTATAAATATATTTTTGCACACAAGTTGTTGTATAGCCATTTGGAAGATTTTCACTAAATTTGCATGATTCACCTGGATTTCTAAATACATAAATAATGATTTAACTTTAAAGAAATAGTTAAGAAAACTTAAAGTATAAAGAGAAAAATAATAATAATTTTTGGTATTGGTTAAATATTTCCGTTGTCAGCAAAATTTAAAAAAGCTATAATTTGATTATACTAACACATTTTGTGTTATGATTGGAGTTTTATACACAGGTTTTAAAAAAAACTTAGAAAACAAAACTTAAAATTATGGGTTGATAATTTTGTTAACTCCCCCATTAAATAATGTATACTTTTACCATTTAAGTCAAGTATAATATTAAAAAACATCAGTGTCAAAGTGGGATCATGGTATAGTTAAGACAAGTATAGATGATATCTGACAGTGTTTTGAAATCACTATCATAAGAAACGCTTCGAAGCAAATTTGTAGATGGTGTTTAATTTTAAGATATTAGTGGATTATTCCAAAAGCAAAAGCAACTTTGAAGAAGCAAAATAAATATAAATTTATATTTAATGTAAGTTAGATTCATTTAAATTTTATATTTATTGGCGAACTAATTACTATGGCAAATCTTTATAAGGTATTCTAAAATAAACAAAAAAACTTAAATTTTAACACAAAAATAGCATGATCTTTAACTACGGCAACCATTTGCATGAAGAAGATAAGGCGTCGAACAAACTTTTTTTTTTTATAGTACGTAGCATAAGCTTTAATATGACATATGTTTAAAGAACGCATTATTTCCGGAACATTTTCAAAAGTTAAGTTGGAAAAGTTTTACCTTTTATACGTATGTTTTAAGTTTTAAACCTCCCTGTATAAAAGAAAATGGTCCAATTTCAAAAAAAAGAAGTATGTCAAATGAAAGAAGTAAATATAGTGTTTATAAAAAAATTGTATAGATCCATACATTTTTCAAAAAGTTATAGTAATGTAAAGTTGAAAATATAAAATCGAAAATATTAACATAAATAACAATTTCTTAACTACGGCATCATTTTGCACGTAGAAGATAAGGAGGTGACGGGACAAATTATTCTTAATGTGAAGCTGAGAAGGTATTAGTTTTACTATGATGTGTTTTTCTCAGCTCTCACCGAACCGATTTCTTTCAACAATACGTTAAAAGATCACAAATCGTATCTAGTCTAAGACATTACCCTCAAAAATTGAAAAAATTTCACTCGTTCCCCGTAAATGAGGGAAATCTCCAAAAAAATTACAAATTTAAAAATCACTAATTTTTGACATTTTTTTCAATTTTTTTTACTTAATCTGATCCTTTACCTGCCCACAGGGAGGGATTTAAAATGACAACTTTTTCACAAAAAATTAACTTTTCAAAGTGTTCCGAAAAGTCTGACACTTTTATATAAAACTTAAATTAAAGATTATGTAATATACTTTATTATGGGAAAAAAAAATTTCGGGCTTTATTTTGGCTTCACGGTGAAAATAGTTACCGAATACTATTTTTGTGTGAAAATTCTCGATTTTATATTTTTTTAACTTTATAATGCTATAACTTATTGAAAAGTGTATGGATCTATACAATTGTTTTATGAGAAATAATATTTATATCACTCTTTCATTCGACATACTTTTTTTTATATATTTTACATATATTACACTTAGAAATCATAAAACTTAAAAAAATTACTAATAAGGATATAAATAAGGAAATAGAAAATCATGTAGCTTTTGGAATAATCCACCAATTTTTTAAACTTTAACACTATCTAAAGATTTGCATCGAAGCCTTTTTTATGCCACGTCACTACTGTGCCGCGACCCCCCTGTGTTAGGTTTTTTTTATTTTATAGTACATGACATAAGCTTTAATTTGATATATGTTTAAAGGACTCAGTATTTCCGGAACAGTTTCAAAAGTTTAGTTGAAAAAATTAACTTTTGTGAAAAAGTTGCTCTTTTGAAGCCCAAAGGGGAGGGCAAGTTAAGGTTCAAATTTAAAAAAAATTATATTAAATGAAAGGATAATACCTAAGATTCCAATTTAAAAAAACATTATTTTGATTTGTTAATATTTCAATTAGTTATGGCAATTTTTGGAAAAAAAAGTGAAAAAATTACAAAATTAACTGATTTTAAAAATTGTATTTCTTTTTTGGAGATTTCCCCCCATTTACGGAGAACGAGGGAAAAAACATGTCATGGTAAAATTAATACCTTCTCAGCTTCGTTTCAAAGAAAATTATTATACTATTTAGAGGTTTCGCTTATTTAGGATTTGGGTTTTATTTATACTTAATATTTAATTTTGCTGTGGGAGCTCGCCTCCTGCTTATTTTTGCATACTGCATCCCCAAAATTATTATATTATTTGAACATTGAGCTTAATTTTGATACTCACATACACTTTTCCACTCGAATACCTTGCCTAAAATTATTGTTATCATTATTTGGACCTTGAACAATAAAACGCCACTCGTCATTTTTTGTTAGTCCAGCTTCTGGAAAAACTATTTGTTCCTAAAATTAATTTCCATTGTTATTACAATATTTATGAACTATAAGATTTTTTTTAACTTTGAAAACTTAACAGTATTTTTTTCATTATTAATAATATTAATTATCTAAAGATTTACATTGCTGTTGAAAATTTATATACTTCATCCAAAAAATCAATACCCTAATCTAGATGAAGACTGATTTATTTTAATATCTAAGAAAGTAAGCTATTAAAAAAAAAATTCTATGAAATGATAATTGAATTAAAATTTTGATTTATCATAGCTTCATGACTCATTCTGTCTGTAAAACAATACATATCATTTTTTACCTTTTTTTAGGTAGCTCACCTCCCTAACACACATCTATTTTCACTAATGTTATTGCCGTTGTTTATATTAGTTGAAAAATGTTACTTTTTTCATTGATATTAGATATCAGAGTATTGCATGGCCTAGGCCGCTTCTGTAATCAAAAAAGTTGGACCGGCACACAAATAATGTTATTGATTAGGACCGGGCTTAAAAAAAAAATTCGTTTGTCTCGATGGGTGTAAAATGTATGTTTAAGAAGGATTTATAAAAATATTCTGGTTTGAGTTATAAGCTAATGAACGTCTGGCGTATGATTAACCAAAATTCCTATGCGTTTAAATATTATTACGCTAAATTGAAATTGGTTCAAAAATGATAAAAATACAAGCTTAAGGTAATCGAAATTCTTAGCTCGATACAAAAAACTGAAAGACAATCTAATATAGAACACTCATGCAATTATTATCAAAGATTTTTTATGTATTTTAATATATTTGTTGAAATTGTACTTTTAGTGATAAAACATTACAATTATTTTGTTATAGATTATCATAATACGTGGAAATTATTACTATTATTCGATTATTGTTTATCTCTTATTATTTATTATAACTCTTATTGTTTTAAAATTATATGATTTTTTTAAGCTAAATATGATAAATATTTATATTTATTATAAATATACCGGGCTTAACTTATAGGCTAGGCCGAATTTAAGGTTTAAAATATGTTAAAAATTGACAAGTAGCCAATCGGCTTGCCTGGGGAATAAAATTAAGAGTTTTGCTAGTTATACATAGAGTATATAAATTACCGATTTCACTATATAAAATTAGTGAAATTAGATATTTGTATTAAACTGGGGGGAAATTTCAAAAGTTGATATTGACCAATAATTGTTTTGAATAGATTATTTTTATTTTACAAGCTAGTTATATATGTATGTTTCAATTTAATAAAATTAAGTTGACATCCTTATAAGGTGAATAGAAATTATTTAGAAAATACTTAATAATTAATATATTGAGAAGTATGTGTTATGCAGAGTTATGAGTAGCATTTGGGATCTAAGTTTCCCCAAAAATACAGAAAATTGATATAATGTTTAAAATTAATAATATTTTAATATAGTTTTAATTTTAAATAATATTAGCCACAAGTGATCAATTTTATTATATAATTTATATAATATATTTCAAAAACATTTTCTAGGGAGAATTATCAATAAGTCTCCAAATTTATTTTTCTAGTTTTCTTTAAGATGGAAGAGTTATAAGGCACTGGATACTAAATTTTTGTGAACTTGTTGTAAATGTTTTTTTATAAATGGTGTTTTAGCTTAGAATAAAATGTTTGTTCAGATCGTTTGTTAAATAATTAGTGACACTAAGTAGTCAAATATTTTTAAAATATTAAAAAAATTATAGAGAATATTGATTTATTACGAGCAAGCCTGCAATTGCAAAAATAACCGCTAAAAATAATATAAAATTTCACGTTTTCTCTACCAAAAATTTGTTTATAATCTCTAAAATATAGAGATTAATTTTACAATAATAAGGCTAAGAATTATGGTCGGATTAAGTATTTTTTCAAATATTAATTTTATAACTTGTAAATGAGAAGAATGACATTAAATTACGTGTAGCACTCGACCATTAATATGTTATAACCGAAAATTCATTCCGTGATATTCTGTAAAATACTTTGAGGTATTCTAATAGCTTAGTAATTATATTTCATCCTTACTAGTGAACCACAAATTGGTTGAGGTTCATTGCCAACATTCATTGAAAATCTCGTTTCCAAATCATTAATCTAAAAATCAAATTCAATTGTTATTAATAATGAGTATTAAAAGTATTAATTTATTTCATAATAAAAAATTCTAAAAATATTTACATACAGCATCCACCCCAAAAAGACCACTTGACATAAGTTTACTAGTTCGAAAGATTTGTTGTAAATCTTGTCTTAAACATAATAAAATATTAAAAGATGTCCCTTAAATATAATTATTCTTGTACTTACTTTGGATAATTGTCGATTTTATCACAATAACTATTATTCTTTGAACATTTTTCTACAAAGCGAAGGTCTGGAATAAATTTGTTAATAGAAATTGGAGTTGTTTCCTTAACTGAACTTGGAAATATGACAACAGAAGGCGATTTACTTTGAGATGATCTTAAACCATTGCTTGATTGAATAGTATTATTTTTGTAACTTGTTGATTGTTCTTTTGTAGAATTTAGTAACTGTGGAACTCTCGAGTTTGAAGTTGTAATTATTGCTCGAGGACTAAATCTACAAAATAAAAGTATTGTAAAGTAAAAAAATAAATGTTTGTCTTGATAAATAATGTTGTACCGGTCTTCAAGTAATTATTAGCTTCGATGCGAAGCTAAAAAGGTATTAGTTTTACTATGTATTTTTTTTTGTGTCTGTCACTACTTTTTCTCAGCTTTAACTGGATCGACTTTTCTCAATGATATGTCAAAAGATCACAAATCGTAACTAATTGAAGACATTACCCTGAAAATTAAAAAAATATCCCTCATTCCCCGTAAATGGGGGAAATCTCCAAAAAAAACCCAACACAATAGGGACGTGACATAGTTGGGTCTAGTATAGATTTAATCTCACAGTGTTTAAATCACTATCATAAGAAACGCTTCGACGCAAATTTGTAGATAGTGTTTAATTTTAAGAGATTGAAAGATTATTTCAAAAGCAACCATAACTCTTATTCCCTTAATTTTTCCCGATTTATAATTATAATATATGAATACATATATTATATTTTACGGAGATATTATAAAAATACTTTTAACGCGTATAAAAATTTAAAGGGATTGATGCAATACATTTTAATAAAAAAATGTTGTTACTTATTAATAAATACACTAGACTACAAGGAACTTTCATCAGAAACAAAAATATACTTTTCTAAATCAACTTTTCGCGATGTTTTCAAATGTGCAATTAAACTTTTTCTATTATTTCTAAGTTTTTTATTATTAAAAAATAAGTATTTACATATAAAAAAAAAAATTAATTTATTTTACCACAACTTTTAGCTCAATTGGCAAGTTTGAAATTGACATCATTAAATAGAAAATTTTATAAGAATTAAAAAAATTGTATCGTTAAGATAATATGCAGTTAGGAAGTTTTATAATTACTATTTATAGTAAATTTATCAGAGTAGCTTAATATTTTTTTGCATTTTTATCGTAATAGATAACTTAAATAGGAGTAATAGTAATCATTCTTAATAACTTTTGGTGTTTAAAAAGATTCTGCAATTGAAATATTTAGAAGTTAATTAATTTTAATAATTTACTTTAAGTAAATGAACCAATCAAAACAAAGTTGTTAAAAAGATTTACTTAATTAAGCGTATTATAAAATTTGATTATAATTGTAAAAATCCATTGTTAATTCAGGAGAAACTAACAATCATTTTTTTAGAAATGATTTATATAGCAACATGATACCAAAAAATTTGGAATATTATAGTCTAGTAGTAACACACACAAATACAGTAAAAAAATTATTAAATTACAAAGTAAAATGATTTAATTTTGTATTTGAAATCTATCATATCAAACTTGATTCGTCAATAAATCCTTTGAAAACATTAGAAATGAATGATTTTAATTGTCTGTATGTAGAACATGTGATAAGTAACTGCTTAATTGATAAATTAGAATTTTTTTTTAATTATTGAGGGTAGTATCTTAAACTAATTGTAATCATTTGACGTATCGTTGAAAAATGTAGGCCAAGTTAGAGCAGAGAAAATAAATGATAGTCACAAAAAAATACCTTCTCAGCTTTGCATCGAAGCTAAAACCTAAAATATAGTAAAATGATTTTAATATGAATAATTATAATAAGAAATTTCTTCTCGCAAGGGGCGTCTACAGTGATGGGATCCTTGATCTTTATTGAAGTTATTGAATCTAAATGAGATAAAAATAAAATGAGTTGAAAATTTATTCTAACTTATTCTAAAAAGAATTAAGAAAAAAATCCCAAAAATTTCCTTGCCATAAACGGGTTGGTTTCCTTGTACCCCAAGCGCGTTAAACACAAGTTTTATCAACTCGGCAACTGTACGTCGCTACCGTCGACTGAAAAAAATGGCAATTTAAGCTAGTTCAAATTTCAAAGTTATTTTTCTCAACTTAAAGAAAGCAAACAAATTTATATAAGTTTAACTTTCTATGCTATATCAATTTTATTTATATAATATTTATGCAAATCAGTGTACTCCCCTTGTCATGTATTTTAAAATAAAATAAAATACAAAACCCAGAATTTTAACACAAAAATAGCATATTTTTGAATATGGTAGTCATTTTCACCATGAAGACAAAACCAGAGGTCAAATTTTTTTTTTTCAAATTTAAGTATATTACATAAGCTTTAATTTAAGATATATATAAAAGTGTCAGTTTTTCTGGAACATTTTCCGGAAAAAACCCTGTGGGCTGGTAAAGGGTCAAATGTTCACAAAAATATATAAAATGATAGGTAAATACCTAAGGTATCAAAAAAAAAAATATGTATATATATAATCATTCGGTTATTTTTAAAAAAGTTATGGCAATTTTAAGTAAAAAAAATTGAAAAAATGTCGAAAATTAGCGATTTTTAAATTTGTAATTTTTTAGGGGATTTCCCTTGTTTAAGTGGAACGAGGTAATTTTTTTCAAATTTTGAAGGTAATGTCTTCGACTAGATACGATTTGTGATATTTAGACATATTTTTCATCAAAATGGATCCAGTGAGAGCTAAGATTGAGCGTTCACAGACACAAAAAAAAAATCATTTATCAAACTCGTACTCTATATACTCTATATTTTGACTTAATAGTGAAAATGGCTACCGTATGTTATTTTTAACACGCTCATGTTAGTTTAAAATGTATGTTTGTTTGTTTGTTGTGTGTAACTCTTCACTCGCTACGTGTTATTATCTCGCGTATCCCGTCGTCTATGGCCTTGAGACTAGACAATCGTAACGCATTCACCCCACTCCGCTCACCACTCGCCAATAACACTAATACTCCTGTATAATTTTTTATTTTTGGTTTTCGTACCCGTACACGCGTGCGTGACATCAATTATATACAGTCGAGTCGCGATAACTCGAAGTTGAAGGGGGATAAAAATTCACCTCGAGATATGTATTATTCGAGATACCTAACTCGAATTTATCAAAATAAAATCAAAACTTCGAGTTACCTATGTAATGAAATATAATTTTAAAATTATACGATAAAAACGTCATGACAAATATAATACATTTATGTTTATACATAAATGCTATACAAAAACTAAATAAAATTAAAAAATAAATACAATGAAATTATAAGTATGTACATATGTATTATTTATGAGATACAGTAGAAAAATAATGTGTTATTAATTTTTGGTTTTTTGGCTGTTAAAATCTTCTAATTTGTCTATGGATTCGAAAATAGAAGTATCCACGCCTTCGACAGATTCAACAAATTGTCTAACAGTTTGTAATGATGACATTGCCTGGTTCGCCGTGATCATATTTAAAGTTGTTTCAGGCTCATCATTTTCATTATTTTCGGAATCACTATTTGATATATTTATACCCATGATTTAGTTATCAGTTAACATTCCATTGACTACAACATTATCATCGATTGTAACATATGATTGAAATGTAAACTCTTGATCTATATTAAGTTTATCTGCTACAATTTGCCAATCATATCCACCATCATCATCGTCATTGTTTTCTAAACCATCACCATCACACTGCTCATCATTAAAATAGAATCCAGCTTTTTTGAAACAATTGACAATTGTACTTGGTTGTACATTACGCCATGCTTTTTCACACATATGCATGGATTGTAATAGATTTATTGAACATGGTCTGCCTTCATCAATATCGTAAACAATTTTTCGAATAATTTCTTTGCGGTATAATGTTTTGAAATTTTGTATTATTTCCTGATCTATCGGTTGTAGTTTAGATGTAGTATTTGGAGGTAAAAATTCGATTTTTACAGATTTTAAATTGATATTACAATGAGCTGTACAGTTATCAAAACATTTCTTTGATTTAGTCGCATTTTTTGATCAAATTTTATAAGCCAATTTTTAAATAAATCACCAGTCATCCATGCCTTTTTGTTTGACTCATAATCTAATGGTAAACTCTTAACTCCTTTAAAACATCGTGGTTTAGTTGATTTCCCGATTATAAGTGGTCTAATTTTTTCGGAACTTGACATATTTAATCCTAAAAGAATTGTTATCCGTTCCTTGCTTTGTTTGCCACCTGAACAAGTTTCCCCTTTCAAAATAAAAGTGCCGTCGGGTAGGCATTTAAAAAACAATGCTGTCATATCCACATTAAATACATCATCGGGAGAATATTCTTTTATGATGTTTGATAACTTTTCTAACCATTCATTACATAAAGAGTCATTTACAGAAGCACTTTCACCAGATGTTTTACGAAAAATTATGTTATGACGATTTTTCCAATTTCCTAACCAGCCTTGACTTGCTTTAAAATTAGAATAACCAAATTGCGAAATATTCTGCTTTTTCTTTTAGTATTGGTCCACTTATAGGTATATTTTTATCTCTACATTGAGTAAACCATTTGAATAAACATACCTCTACATTTGGATATTCTGCTGGTTTTGATCTTTTACAGTCACCTTTATTGTTTTCAAATTTTTTTAAAATATCCGCCTTATTTTTTAAAAATGTCGACAGCGTATTTGGAGAAATATTAAATTCTTTTGCGATGTCTTGTTTTTTCCGGTTACCTTTCTCCACCAATTGTATCACATGAACTTTGTCAGCTATAGTTAAATGGTTTAATTTTCGTTTTTGGGACATGTTTAAAAACATTCAAAAATACGCACGACAAACACGACAGGTAGAGTATAGACACATACTAACCAATACATACTTATTATTATTGTGTGTGCGCTAATAATCAGTTTCTATCTACTCGTTTAATCTTTATTATACAGTACTGAAGTAGATAAAACATAATACATAATAATGAACACAATTATCATGAAATACCCAGAATATCCAGATATAGCAGATATAAAAATATACTTCGACTAAGCTATTCATCACAATTTTATATTCGAGTTAGCAAGACTTATAATACATTGAGTGTTATTATAATTTCTAAGGGAATTAAAAAAAAATCGAGTTGTCGAGTTCTTCGAGTTATTGAGATTCGAGTTATCGCGACTCGACTGTATATATAAACAAATTTTTATTAACACGCTTATATTAGTTTCACCTGTATATATGTATGTATGTATGTATGTATGTATGTATGTATGTATGTATGTATGTTTGTAACTCTCCAAACGCCACGCGTTATCGCATATTCCGTCGTCTAGACTAGACTGTCATAACGAATTCACCCCACCCCATNTTTAATATTCATAAAAGTTAGTGTATTCCCCTAATAAGATATTTTAAAATAAAATAAAATACAAAACCCAGAATTTTAATTCAAAAATAGCATATTTTTGAATACGGTAGCCATTTACACATACACCCAAAGAAAAACCTCAATCAAAATTGAAAGAGAAATTTTATCAAGGGTTTATGATAATGTTTTATTAATACGAACAAAATAACTATTCTTATAAATAATTATTGTTCAAGACAAGAAAAAAAAATATCATATTGATAAATATATCATTGATTCAATAGTTATGATATATTCATCAAATTGAACAATGAATTTATTATATAGATCGAGGTTTTTTTCTGGGTGTAGCTAGGGATCCGCCCCAGACCTGGGACTACAAGCCACACGCGCCTTCGCCCTTTTGAGCCATCCTCGTAAGTAGGCCACTGATTCTGGTAAGAGTACTCGGCTATGTCAGGTACGATAAGTGTTTTGCAGAAATTGTAGTTATGTTTGTATGGAAGTTTAATTTCTTTAAATATTTTTAATAAATAAAATAATTAACATTTTTATTATAATTGTATGGCATTAAAAAAAAATATTTTTGAGGTATTTTTTTGTTCTTTTAAACAAAAATTATGGATTAAAAACTTATGATTTACAATTCTAGAGCTCAATTTTTTTAACTATTAACCGCCTTAATCCTAATTTACCATAAATAAAAATTACTATTCCCTAAAATTTTAAAAAACGTAGTTTTAATTCCATATAACTATGCCAAAGTTCAGGTCATTTTAATAATTAATCAAGTTGATTATAAAAAATAATTAAATTTTTCCCAATAAATTTTATAAATGACATTCTGGCTTAGAAGTTTTAGGAATGATTGCTCTCGGACCGTTGTGTTAAGTTGGAGACATTATTCCTCGTGTTTTTCCTAACGATAACGCATCCGGGGCCACAGATTCCGGGTCGACATTGGTAATACTCAGATGGAACAGATCTAATTGAAACACTGGCGTACGCAATGGGGGAGGGTTGAAACCCTCCCCCAAAATTTATAAGCTAAGCGACAATTTTGGACAATAAACAATAAGTAATAACAATAAAAAAGATCATATCATACTATAAATTTATCCACAATAAAGTAATCGAAAACAGGAATTTTTGTGAGCGAACAATATGAGCAGTGTCACATCTAATTTTCTTTAAATTTTAAACCTTCCCCCAAATTTAATATCTGTGTACGCCACTGAACTGACAACTCTTAAAAGTTTTAATTCAATAATCATTTCGTCATTATTTATTCAACAATTTTTACACTCTTAGACTACGTTAAAAGCAATTTTTTTAATACTTACTTATAGTAATATAAAAGAAATAAAAAACCCAGCACAGTGGGGTCACGGCACAGTGAAGACGTGGCATAGTTGGATCACGTATAATGATATCTGACAGTGATTAAAATCACTATAAAATAAATATAGTTTAAAAAAACTAAAAAAACACGCTTTTTTAGTTTTTTTAAACTATATTTATTTTTCACTTTTTAGTTTTATGTTATGATAGTAGTTACTATCAATATCATGGTTATAACGGGTAACGGTAAATCAGGGTTCGATTCCGGGGAGGGAGTCTGAGAAACGGCTCCCACATCCAAGGAAAGCAGCAGGCGTGTAAATTACCCACTCCCGGAACATGGAGGTAGTGACAAAAAATGACGATACTGAATTCATCCTTTGTAATCGGAATGAATGAGTTCTCTAAATAAGAATAAAGTGTGTTATTATATATTTTTAATAGTTATTAGAATATATATATATATACATGTAAAGCGACTTAAGTACGTAAACGTATCATGCATTAGGTATAGCCGTGTTTTGTGGGCGGGCGGGTGGGACTAACGTTAAACCTGAGGTATAAACGGCGGTAGGAATATATACATAAGCCGTATGGTACGCGGATGGTATTGGTCAGTCAAAATAAAAATTTGTTTATATATATATAATATTGATGACAAGCACTCGTGTACGGGTACGATAACCAAAAATAAATTTATACAGGAATAATATTGCCGGTGTGTGATGAGCGAGGCGTGGGGTGGGGTGAATGCGTTATGACTGTCTAGTCTAGACGACGGAATATGTGATAACGCGTGGCGTTTGGAGAGTTACATACATACATACATACAGTGGAACCTCGATTATCCGGGGTAATGACGGGGAGCGGGTCACACGGATAAATGAAAACCACGGTTGATCGAGACTTTTTATAATAATGAAATTTTTATTTAATTATAATAAGAAATGTAATTTATTTAATTTAATTAAAAAATGTTTTATATTAATACAAATGATGCATACATAATAAGTTATGAGGATGACGTTATTGACTTAAGAAAAGTAAGAAGTGATCAGCCTTTGTTTTTTTTGTTTTGAAATAATTGTCCTCACTTCACTTCTTATTTTTCTTAAGCCAATAACGTCATGGAAGTCAAAATCCTCCTGCTCGCAAAATTTCAAAAGGACATCAACTGCTTCCATTGCTTGGCTAGTCTGTATTTTTTCAAAACTCTCACTTTCATTATCACTCTCAGAAGAAGAATCAAGCTTTTGTGAGGTAGATAGTGTACTTGTACTGCCATAACGAGCTGCTATGTCAAAGTCACTTAAACGCTCAAATCCCTCTTCGTTATGATCTTTTTGTAGCCAATCAACAATATCGTCTTTATCAACGTTAGTGAAATCTGGAATAGATGTAGCAAGTTCAAGACAATCTTCTATATCTGTATCTTCGACATTTTCTTCGTCACCATAACCTTGATCTAAGATTTTCGCCCAAGAAAGTCGTAACGTACTTGCAGGTACATTTTCCCAAGCATTACATACTGCGAAAATGGCATCTTTTATGGTCCATGTTTTCAAAAGTTCTTTCATTGAATCATAACAATTTTCTTGTAAGAGATAACGGAGAAATATCTTTTTGTACTTTCGTTTCAAACAGGAAATCACGCCTTGATCCATTGGCTGTATTAAGGAAGTTACGTTAGGTGGTAGATAATAGACAAAAATTTGACCATCCATTGTTTTCAGGGTAGATTCTGAGGGGTGTGAAGGAGCGTTATCAAGCAGAAGAACAGCTCTTTTTGGTATACCTTTTTCATCTTGAAATTTTTTTACAGAAGGTACAAAAACGTTAAAATACCATTCACTAAAAATAACCTGGTTCATCCAAGCTTTTGGGTGGTGGTAATAATCACATGGAAAATATTTCATTTCGGTTCCTTTAAAAGATCTTGGTTTTTTAGCTTTTCCAATTACAGTTAATTTGATCTTATGTGTACCGGTTGCATTTGAACATGTCATAATAGTAAGTCGTTCTTTGCTAGATTTATGTCCAGGAGCTGATTTTTCAGATTGCGCGGCAAGTGTTTTTGAGGGTAACATTTTCCAGAATAGACCTGATTCATCTGCGTTGTACACTTGATCAGGGGACAGGTTCAATTTTGAAAGCATTGAATTGAATTCGTCATTAAACAGTGTTGCAGCAGTCAAATCTCCACTGAGACATTCACCTTGAATGTCCAGCTGTCTTATACCATGACGAGTTTTGAATCTAAATAACCAACCTTGTGAAGCATTAAAACTTTCCTCTATTTTCAAATTTTCATGAAACCATTTTGCTTTTTCACAAACTATTGGCCCAGAAATTGGAAGTCCTTCAATACGCTTCTGTTTAAACCATTCAAAAAGAGCAGATTCCATATCTGATAATGATGACTTTTTCATAGTTTTTCTCGTAGCTGATAATTCTGGACAAGATATGAACTTAAAAATTTCATTTTTTTGTTTGATTAAGTCACGAACTGTCTGTTGACCCACGCCAAACTCGTCTGCAAGTTTTTGTATACTTTCACCATGATCTACAGCTCGGTTAATAATCAACACTTTTTTCTCAAGAGAAAGAACGATACGTTTTCGTTTAACACTCATTATTAGATAAGGTAACGTCGCGAACGCTTATAGTAAACTGAAGGTGATACGATAAATACAATTTGTAATAATCTACAATATTGTTTATCTTGATATTGTTATCTCCATAATACGTACAATCCATAACTATTTTTAAATTTTCGGAAGAGTGAGCACGGTTAATCGCGAACACGGATAATCGAAGCACGGTTAATCGAGGTTCCACTGTACATACATACATACATACATACATACAGGTGAAACTAATATAAGCGTGTTAAATATGACACAAAGCACCTACGCTTATATCATAATAATACTAGTATTTTTCGTTCATTATTATTTTAAGCTTATTTTTAACTTTTTAGTTCAATGTGCTTTAAAAGCGTGTTTTTTAAAACTATATTTATTGTGTTAAAATTCTCGATATTTTACATTTTTAACTGTATATTTCTATAACTTTTTAATTAATGTATGGATCAATACAATTTTTTCATAAGAAATACTATTTATATACTTCTTTCATTTGACATACTTTTTTTTTAAAGTCGAATCATTTCCCTTTATACTGGGGGGTTCAAAACTTAAATATGCGTATAGAAAGTAAACTTTTTCAACTTATTTTTAATTAAAATATATTTATTGATTATTCATACGTAACCTAATAATCAAGCATAAATATTTGTTATTTAAATTAGAAGGATTTTGTTATTATTTAGGCCATATGCGAAACTCTAATTGCAGGTTTGAAATCGACACAAAAAACGAAAACATGATTCTTAAATTTTAATGTTAGGCTTCGTAAAGACATGTTTTCAAATAACGAATATATATAAGACAAACTTTATGCAAAAGTAATCAAGAATTACTTAGTATTCGAATCTATTGTAATTGGTGTAGTATTTTCCGGGTTAGAATCACCTCTTTTTGGTCTCGAGTAAAATTCTCTAGAAATAGTTGAATATTCTCGCCAATTCCAATAATATCCATTAATACTTTCAGTCAGTAAAGCTTGCCATTGAACCTATAAAATTTTAATTCATGAATAATATTACATTAAAACACTTATAATCTATTTATAATAAACTTCTGTTATAAATATTTCCCCAGCCGCATTTTTTCCACTAAAACCATACACTCCATATACTTTTTCTCATATCCTTTTCTCACTGACATTACCGACATGTCCATTCAAATCACCACCTATCACCGCATTCTCATTATCAGATATTCCTTACTTCATCCATCTCTCTCCAAAACCATTCTTTGTTTAGTTCATCACATCCTACTTGTGATGCATAGTCACTTACTACATTCAACACTTTTTCCTCGAAAATGAATTTTATAACTATAATTCTGTCACTTAACTTAACTATTTTTACTTTACTTTTCATCTCTTCATCTATTATTATTGGATCCTCAATTCTCCTCCTGTGTTCTTTCTGTTTTTGTATACTCTTTTCCCACTACACCACAACTCCATTATCTACAGTCTTATAGAACTTACCTTTCAACTTCATTAAATTTATAAAAGAAAGATTTCATTAATATTATTATTAGGTAATAATTAAAAAACTATTCCATAAAGTCATGATTGTTCAAATTGAAAATTTTTAAATACCCTCATCACTTTTGGATGGTTCAGCTAATTAAAAAAAATCTCATACTCGGCTTAAGGATCATACATTATTTTAGGGAGATGTGGTTTCATAAGCCTTCCCCATAATATTTATTAATTTTTGTTAACTAATTGGAATTTTCGAAACACACGGGATTGAATTTTGAAAACACCTTTTCATCTACTAATAAGATTTATGAAATGATTTTTATACTTGAACTCCCAGACCAATGTTTTTGGTATAATTTGATTGTATTAAAAAAAAATATGTAATAGAGAGTTGTCAGTGGCGTATTTAACTCTTTGAAGACAAAGAAACAGAAACAGAAAAATTAACTTTTTTGAAAAGTTAAAGAATATATAAATATTGTTGACATACTTATATTTAAAAACTGATTGATATACCATGAGTTTAATTTTTAGGTGAATTATCTCAAATTTTTTTAACGCAAATTTAGTGAGAACTTAAACTCTTAAAACTTAGAAAAATTATAAAAAGAATGATCGTAACAAAATTTTATGTATCCAGATCAGGCGTATTTCGGTCTAGTCCGACAAGGCAGCTACATTGGCTCAAAATTTTAGAAAGCCATTTTGACACGTTAGATAGTAAATATTCTTTTCCAATTGATACATTAATTTTTTTTATATACAAAATGATTTATTTATTGCGAACACTTAATTAATCGGAAAAAAATGAATATTAATAATTTTGCTTTTTTATCAATGTTTTTCTCAATTTACCAATCATGAAGTATTTCTTTATGTTCATCCTATACATTATAAAGGTGTCAACTTTAATTTCTCACATAATAAACTAGCTTATTTATCAGATCTTGATCTAATTAAGAGGACGCCATACGGGCAAACGAAACAATGATATGACCGAGAGAATGCGCTTTTAGATGTTTTACAACCGAACTCTTCAATCACCCCCTTTCATACAATCCATATACCATGCGCACACCTGTACGACCGCCTAATATTATTTTGGAGCAGCACATCATTCTACTATTAACAGTTATGCTATGCTAGGCGATAAAGCTCTCATAATATAAAACAAAATGAATATGTAATTATAATAAAATATCATAAGATTATAATATAATATTATTTCAAATGCTACCGCTTATTAAACGTTAAAGTGTTGCGAGTATCACATTTGTAGTTAATAATTTATTCACAACTATGAAAAAATTAATTTTATAGATAATTTTATATAATTTATTGTTACATGAAATCTATAATAATAATATCTAGTAATATGTATGTAGTTAGTACTTAGTTAAGTTTAAAACATTGTATATAATTAAAATTGTTGGGGAACTAATTATTAAAATTTTTACTGGTTGTAAATCGATTCTTTTCGACCGAAAATAGAAAATAAAAGTTTTTTTTATATCTTTTAATGCATTGTTACTATCCATGACACAATCACCTTTAATTTACAGTCATCTGTTAGTTTTTAGTGCAGTGCGGTTTTGCCTTGCAAATAATCGGTAGAGTCGAGGGAAAAAGAAGAAAAAAATTAATTAAACAAATTTTTTATTATTTTATATATTTTTAGCTTCGATGCGAAGCTGAGAAGGTATTAATTTTACCATGATGTGTTTATTTTATTTATTTTTTTTTTTGTGTGTCTGTCACTACTTTTTCTCAGCTCTCCAATCACAAATCTCCAAAAAAATTACAATTTTAAAAATCGGTAAATTTTGTCATTTTTTTCACTTTTTTTTCTTAAAAATTCCATAACTTTTTTAAAAATCAACATAATTTTTTTTTATACTAAAACCTTAGATATTTCCCTTATATTTGATATCATTTTTTTGAAAATTTAACACTTAACCTGCTCACTGGGGAGCATTTAAAATAGCAACTCTTTTACAAAAACTAACTTTTTCAACTTAATTTTTGAAAATGTTCCGGAAATACTGCGTCCTTTAAACATATACCAAATTAAAGCTTATTTTATGTACTGTAAAATGAAAAAAAAAATTTGTCCCGACACTTTATCTTCTGCATGCAAACGGAAGGCGTAGTTAAAAAAACGCTATTTTTGTGTTAAAATTTTCGATTTTAAATTTTCAACTTAAAAATGCTATAACTTTACGAAAAATTTAAGTATCAGCAAATTTTTTTTTTCTAAATACATTATAAGTACATCTTTCATTTGACATACTTTTTATTAAAATTGGTCAATTTCCCCTTATATAGGGGGCGTTCAAAACTTGAAACATTGTAATCAATGATTAAAAGTTATTAGGAAATGATTACCATTATTTCATTTTCAGTTATCTATTACGATAAAAATTTAAAAAAATCGAATTTTTCTGATACATGTACTATAAATAGTAGTTATAATTTCTGATGGCATATTAATCTTAAAAATTTCTTTTTTTCTATTTAATAATGTCAATTTCAAACTTGCAAGTTGAACTATAAGTTATGGTAACAAATTCATTTTTTTTTTATTATTAAAACTTTCACTTTAAAAGACAAAAAAAAGTAGGTTCAAAATGATTACTTTTAACATATTAAAAATCAAAATCAATAATAATATGTAAACAATTAATTTAAAAAATTATATAATTTATAATTAAAAGAATTACTAATCTGGGTATAATTAAGGAAATAGAAGTTGATGTTGCTTTTGTAATTATCCATCAATTTCTTAGAATTAAACACTATCTACAGTTTTGAATCGAAGCGTTTCTTATGATAGTGATTTTAATTAGTGAATTTCGTCACTTTTTTTTTTTTGTTCTTTTATATCCGATTTCAGTAATCTCTTTGGGAACTGTGAAAGCAAGAAATAAGAGTGTAAATTCATATTTGATTAGTATAAAATTTGTGAAAGATATTACCAAAAAATAATATACATAAACGAATTAGATACCGATTATCAAACAAACGGATATAGAAATCATAAAATAAATACCATTTCACATTTATCAAAAATCCCTTTATCATATATCATTTTTCTACCATTCCATTCCATTCAAATTCAAATTTCGAAAGAATCATTATTTTTAACTAACCTTAAATTAAGCTAGGCGTGAAAAATCTGGTATGTGCAAAAAATGTAAATTAAAAATGTTTATCTGTGAATTAAAAAAATACGCAATAGCAGATTTTATTTTAGATTAAAAAATTTGAATACCAAAATGCTCATATAAAATTTAATTTAAGTTTATACTCACTATAATGCAAGTAAACTTGGTGCGTACGCCCACTAATTACATACATAAAATAAAAGTATTATGTAAAGAGTATTCTATGTATCATAAATATATTTGTAGTCAATCAGAAATTTGTAAAATGCTGTTTAATAACTGTTTCATAATAATTATTCATGTTACAAAATTTTTATAAAACTGATACACGAGTCTTAAAACTCACAAAAAATAGTTTTAAGTGATACAATATACGTAGTATAAATAAATTCAGGACTGGTAAACTTTAATTTAATACACAACATTTTTAATGATGACCTTTATTTTTTTGGCAAATAATTAATTTTTGGAAAAAGAATATCTAATTTTAAATTACTAAAAAGACTACTACTACTACTAAAAAGACGGTTGATCCATCCTGCTGTCCACGAATATAATGTATACTGTGGACTCATATTCGTAACAAGAATGTTTTCTAATGTTACAAAATAAAACTCCACGTAAATTTCTGACAGATTTCCGATCAATAAATATTTTTATTATATTTGCATTATTATTTACGTGTAAAAATGAACACAGTAAAGTTAAAATTTAAGTCTCATCACCCGTCAATAATAACAATTATTTTACAAATTCAGATAAGCGACTGCTAAATGGTGCCCCGGTTCGTCGATAACAAAGTATAAAAATAACTGGTTTTAATCGTTGGCAAGGTAGCAGTTGAAGGGTGAGGGTAATTGGTTATTGTCATTCAACAAAAAATTCGTCACGTGATAAATGCCACTAGGGACCGACACATGTCGATAGACAAAAATTTATTATTTTGCATAAAAACTGTTTTGCGCGGGACTACTCTACCAGGTGTATAACTTAATAATGGGGATATTTTTCAACAGATGGCGTTACACTCATATAATAGAGCACGTGGCTTGATATGTGAGCAATTTTTTTTATCGACATAACCCTTTAAAGTAGTGAAAGTCGTACTTTTTGAAAGCGCTTATATCATTTTTTTTTACGTGTTAAAATGTCGGAATTTGTTCCAAAAAAAGAGCATTTGCGGGAGGTTTTGTTACATTACTTTCTCTTAAAAAAAAGTGCTGCTGAAAGTTACCGTATACTTCAAGGAGTTTACGGAGAGCATTGTTTATCCCAGAATACTTGTGAGCGCTGGTTTAATCGCTTCAAAGTTGGCGATTTCGATGTGTCAGACAAAGAGCGTCCGGGGCAGCCGAAAAAATTCCAAGATAGTGAATTGGAAGAGTTACTTGATGAAGATCCCTGCCAAACGCAGAAACAACTTGCGGAGAGACTTCAAGTAACTCAAGCAGCAATTTCCAAACGCTTAAATATGATGGGAAAGATTTTAAAAGCGGGAAAATGGGTTCCACATAACCTCAACGAACGGCAAATGGAAAATAGGAAAGTTACAAGTTTATCGCTGCTTTCTCGGTACGAAAAAAAATCTTTTTTGCACCGCATAGTCACTGGAGACGAGAAATGGATTTATTTCGAAAATCCGAAACGAAAAAAGTCGTATGTTAATCCAGGACAACCCGCCCAGTCGATTCCAAGACCAAATCGGTACGGAAAAAAAACTATGCTTTGTATTTGGTGGGACCAAAAGGGTATTTTATACCACGAACTTCTAAAGCCTGGTGAAACTGTAAATGGAGAACGGTATAAACAACAACTTATCAATTTAAATCAATCACTGATCGATAAACGACCAGAATGGGCTAAGAGACATGACAAAGTTATACTGCTTCACGACAACGCTCCATCTCACACCACAAAACTGGTCAAGGACACCACAAAAAAACTTGGATGGGAAGTTCTTGCGCACCCGCCATACTCACCAGACTTAGCCCCGTCTGATTATCATTTATTTTCTTCGATGGCACACGCTTTGGCTGAACAGCACTTTAAATCTTACGAAGACGTAGAAAAATGGCTATCGGAATGGTTTGCTGCGAAAGAAGAAAAATTTTTTTGGAAAGGTATCCATAACTTGCCATTAAGATGGGAGAAATGTATAAATTCAAATGGTAATTATTTTGAATAAACGCTTTTTGTATTTCTATTTAAAATGCTGTGTTTTTATTTTTTTAAAAATCCCCATTATTAAGTTATACACCTGGTATTTGATCTGTATCGATGCTAGAGTCCCAAATTTTTTACCAAATTATAAAGGAGAAAATTATCTGTGATCTAGCGTTTTTATAATTTTGATAACACAACTCTGAAGCTATTTATTAAACATTTAAAAAATCAAAAAAATAGGAATGTTTAATAGTAAATATAAAGTACTAGAAATTATGTTAACAAAAAAATAAAAACGCTAGATCACAGATAATTTTGTCCTCTATAATTTGGTAAAAATTTTGAAACTCTAACATCAATACAGATCAAATGAAGTAGTCCCCCGCAAAACATGTTTAAACCCGTTTTTCATTCTCTGTATGGCGTCCTCTTAAGAAAATAACTAGTCGATAATAACTTTTGGACCAATATTTCAAAAGTTATTCACAATTTAAATAATGACCAAGTGATGCTATTTTTATAACTGGACATTTCCCGGCCATACTTTTCTTGTCGTCTAAGTATAAACATTCCAATAACCACTAAATTTTGATTCAAAAATTGTTATCGACCAGTCATTTTTTTAATTAGATAATTATCAATTAACTATGATAGTTAATTATGCGTGTTTCCATTTGAGAAATTATAGTTGACACCCTTAAAGAGTATAAGGATAAACATAAAAAAATACTTCATAATTGATAAATCGAGAGAAGTAATGATAAAAGAAACCCATAAAAAATTATTAATATTATTTTGACTTTTCGATTTATCAAGTGGTTCATAATAAATAAATCACCAGTATAATATCAAAGAAGTATAGTGGCATATTCAATAGAGGGGCTAAGGACTCCTCCACATTGACATAAAATTATAATTATACTTTTGTAATTTTACTACCATAATTATGGTAATTAATGAAATTAGATGGGTTAAGATCCGTAAGACTTTGAGATCTGTCCTAAAGTAAATTTTGTAACTGCACAGTTAAGACTCCAATTTCAACCTTGTTTAGGATCGATGTAAACTTTTATATATTTAATACTTAAATTTCAAGTACAAAAATATAACAATCCGAAAATCATAATTTTTGTACTTGCGTTAGTCAATTTCTGTGGTACAGATATTTTCTGAAATATATTAAAGATAATGATATCTCATATTGATATTAACACCTATTACTATACGCCTAGATACTATGACTTTAATTTTATATTAACAGCACCGTTATCATTTCCTTTTGTGGTAATAGGTGAAACCTCTATTCGGTAAACAGAAAATAACGATACATCATTTATTATACAGACATTAAATAGTTCTACTTTGGCCGAACTAGGTGAAACTTTATTTAAATAAATCATAAATTTCATGCTGGGCTACAATATTTGACCAATGTATCACATTGTCTGTAACATGTATAACATACATATATTATGTTGTGATATTTTGTAGTATAACTATAAAAATTATTCATTTATAACATCAATATATCTATTAGAGTTAATACGATGGACTTGAATCCTAATAGTACTTCATCAAATGATGGGTTCATTTTGATTTTTAAACAGATAAAAAATTAACACTGTAATAAGTTAGCTAAATATTTTGATTTTTTTTTACAATTAATGTATGATAGAATACCTATATGAGCATAAACATAAGGTATTGATTAAATTTTAAAACTAATTAATAAAAATAGTGCGTAATAGCTACATCCTATCATGTTTAATTGAAAAATCGAGTTTTAGAGGTCAAAAATTGATTATAAACGTTACCTGTAAATAATTGTACAGTATTATCTATACATAAAAGAGTATAATGATCAGTATGTATATGATAGGTATAATTAGCAACTTTAATATAGTAGAGAGCATCAACGATTTGTACATCGTTGTTAATCTAAAATCGAAAAATACTAGTAGTGCCTAAACAACTTCTATATATATAATTTTTACTTAACTATTATTTTTCATGGCCATGTATAATAAGTAATTATTTTACACTTTATAAAAACTACAAAAATTATAAATGAACAATTAGTGTTAGAGGAAAATACATCATTATTACCGTGCTAATGAGAGCCACACATATCATCAGCCACGGCCATTGGAACATTTTGCCTCTGTTTTTACATTCACATACTACTAACAAACATATTTTAGAAGGTTATTTGGAAACTCCATAATAAAATTACTTTAAATAATTTTTAATAATTAAGTAGTGAAAAATAAAATACACGCACACTACAAGCCAGCTTGGCTGCTATTTCATTACTGTGGGTGACTGGACTAGATCAGTTAACAATACCGGTTTTTTCGCCTACCTGACTGATAATTTATTGGATTAAATATTAAATAAGTATGTTTAATTATATCTTAATCATACTTACCTGCAGTTATTGTAAGGAACAGTAAATCCACAGACTTTCATGTTTGCATTTAATGTATTGTATATTTGATTTACTTTTCTATAAAATTAAGATATTGTTCATACTAAAAACAAAACAAGTTTTCTAAGAAAACTAGAAAAATTTATTAAATGAGTCAAGTATAAAAAAATTATTTTATTGAAAAAAAACAACATTTTTTATTACAATTTTTTAAATATAATATTATAAATAATTTTAATGCAAAATATGTGCTTGTACATTTTTTATTATTGCTTCAAAATTTGAAAGCAACTGTTACATGCATTCTTTTTTAAGTCAAATTTTAACCAATACTTTAATTTTAATACGCATACTATTGAAAATGCTTTTATAACTATTCAGTGTTTTCAGGCAACTTCATAATATTCACCTTTTACACTGTTTCAAGATCTTAAAATAAACAAATAAATTTCATTCGTAGTAGAGAATTACATTTTTTAATTTAATCATAACTTTGATATAAAGGTACTACAACAGGGGCTATAGAAGGCTTAGGCACAGTTGATAAGTTTGCTCCCTCCAAAATCTGGAAAATGATGAATCTTTGTTAGTGTATTAAAAAATAAAAATATTAATGTTTTTTTAAAAAATAGGGCCTAAAATAGTGAAATATAGAAGATGTGTGATTAAGTGTGACATAACATGGATCCTAGTTTTTATTGTAGAAAACTCGATTTTTGAATTTTAAATTAACTTATTTTTTGGATATTAAATAGTTAAGTTTATTTAGTTTCTTCTATTATTTCATAAAGCGAACTAATATTAATTTATAAACAAAAATTGATGCCTATTTTTTGAAATTATCATTTCATAATATATATTCCATATTAAAATAAAAATGGTGTATTTAGAAACTTTGTAATGTGGTCCAGATAGCTTTTAAAATGTAGAGTAAAAAGGGAGATTTACAACCTCACTACTATGATTTTTTATTCATAGGGTTCTCAACCCATAGACCCCCATAAATATACCAATGTAGAATCGTTCTCATACTTATTTTACCGATAAATATTTTCAGGATTAATACGGTTCTAAATAATACCATTCCTGTCATTTATGATTTTTTTTAAAAATTATTTCTATTAGATATTGTTTCATAATAAATAATTTCATATAATTTCAATTGAGGCGACTAGAACACGAGGGGTATAAGAGACATATTTTTTTTGTAATAATCAAATTCAAATTTCACATGATCTCATAAATCAGAGTACAAGGATATACATGATCTTATGATTAATTTGTATTGTATGTTCGTATAAGTTTGACACGAAATAATGTAAATTTTGAACAACATATTTTTGGATCCATGGACCACTTTTTAAAACTGTATCTCACTTATATCCCTTTACTTCAAAATGAAATAGTCGAATATAACATTTATATCTTTAGTAATTTTTACTAATATTAATTAATCTCAATGTTATTCAGTAATTAATTGACTAAAAAAATCAATAAACTTTTTTAAGTATAAAAATAATAACCTATTATCATTAGAAGACAAAATTATAAAAATCACATACTGTCAGTCTTTAATAAAAAATTATTGAAAAAACTTTATATTGTAAAATAAGATTATCAATATATAACTTGGTAACAATAACACCATGTTTAAAACAAAAAACTAAAAACAACTTATATTAGTTACAAGTCTTTATCCATATCATAAAAGTTGACCACTTCATCATCTTTTTTTTGTATATCTTCTTCTGAAGCACCTTGAGCTTGACATTGATTATTTATAAGATTATTAGACAAATTTTGGAAAAAATTATGATGAATTGAATTTGATCCATGAGATCTTTTATCTTAGGAGGTTTTAAAATAGATTTTATTGATACCAAGGATAAATTTTGAGGGAAATTACTTGTAAGCCTTCCACGACGAGACTTTCTTTTCATAGACATCTCACTAAATATCTTTAGACCATCAGCAGCACATTGTTTGAAATAAAGTGTATCTGGTCTACCTTTTTCGAAATGTAGTAATTGTATCTGTCTGATTACTTAAATTGTAGTTGAAAAGGTTAGATCTTCCATTTTTACCACATTAAATTTTTTATCTGTAGACTCACCAAGTTATACCAATATTCTGTAACATAGATGCTCTCCTTAAAACACTTTTGCTTCAGTTTTATTTAGTCAGTCTTGTTCACATTCATTATATGAATGCCCACAAGTAAAAAATCTGTGATCTACAATTTCAATATGTGATGTTCTTACTACATACAACCAAAATTTTATAATAAATTAGATTTAGTTTTGGTCTTCACAGTTGTCTGTAAAGTATTTTATGAGCTTTTACAGTTGAAGATATGCTCTTAATAAATTTTAATTTTAATAGACATGATGCAATTTCTTTACATCTTTAAGATACCTGTCCTTTATGCCATATGTACAAGTTAGCCGTACCAGTATTCAGTTCACATATTACCAAGTAAGTCCACAAGTGATGGTAATAGTAGGTTTTTTGATTTGTTAAATGAGGTGTATGCAAAGTTTTTTGTGAATTTGAAACAGATTGTAAATGAGTGTCATTTTTAATCTTTCTAATATTGTCTTTGTTAAACGAGTAGCTGGTTAAGCGTAGATAAAGTTCTTTTTGATTTTCTGCCTGTTCTTTTTGCTTAGTAGTCCCTAATTTAATTTTGTTGGTCAGCTTATCACAAACATCATATGTATCTGTATTAGGCCTGTTAAAGCTTAAATTAAATTCTGTATTATATATATATCTACAAAAACTCTTTTTTTGGTGTAATACATTTCACTTATTTACAAAATACTATGGGTAAGAACTTGTGGTTGGGATTTTTTTCTCTAATATAATAAGTTGTATACTTGAGAAATTAATAAATATGTTCCCATATGATATTGATTATTTCTTCAAAAATTTTATTTGGAGGGTTTTATTACCTTTTTTTATCAAAAGGAGAAACACCAGACATTGATTTTTTTTTTACTGACAATATTTTACACCCGTCTTCTAGATATGTAAACTCTCTAATAGTGTAAACACATGATACTGATCTTGCCTTTTTTGTTGTAATTGTGTCATTTAAACATGCTGTTTGTAACTCCCAATTTCCTATTTCTCATTATTTAAAAAGAATTATTTTTAGACATTTTTAGGTAAGTTAGTGTTACATTAATATCTAACTCTAAAATTGAATTCTATTAATTCTTTACTCTTGCGTGTTTTACCTTTTCAATCTACATAAGTCATACCTTTATTTCTTAACATCTTAGATTTCACCCGTTTCCATGTATCAATTCTTCTGACTCTTTTCTTAGAAGTCTGTATTTCATATGATACTCAGTAAATCGTCAATAATATCTTTTGATGATTGGGTTTGCGAATTATAATTATTATTCTTTGGCATATAGTCCTTGTCTGCATCGCTACCATCTCCACTAAACAAATATTCATTATCTAAAATTAAAGTCATAAAACATTTATTAGATTCCAGCACATTGTGGTCTTAACTTAGGCCTACACTAAAATTGCTATTCAAAGTTAATAGTTCAAAACAATTACCATCACTCATTTTATATTCTTCATTCATTTTCCAATAAAAGCAAAATTATTTTTCTCAACTGTTCATTAAGAAATAATTTTTTTTCTAAATTGATTTTGGTTTAATGACTTTGAATTAAATTAATATAAAATTAAAAATAATAATATATTATTATTGTTTTTTTTTTTATTGAAAAAAAGCAATACATTTAGCAGTAGAGATATAGCTGATGTGGTTTGGTGGCAGAAAGATATAAGCTAACTTATATCTGTATTCTTCAAATCCAGATGGCGTTTTCATTAAGGGAAAAAATGATTTTCTTCTAGATTGCAGAAAATAATTCACTACTGTCTTTTAATCATGAAATAAAATTAAGTGTAAAAATATGCTGTAATTTTATGACAGTGAATGATATAAATTTATGTGCCATATGACAATTACACTTTATTTAAATCCTTTTTGATACAAGCACTAGCAAAACTATGAAATATAAAAAAAAAATGTTTTTTGAAAATATTATTTATTAACTTTCTATTAAAGCTGTCTAAAAATAATACTGAATTTTTGGGTATACATTTAATTTAATAATACACATTATAGTAACAGATTTTACATTATTCCATAACATAGAATTAATATAAGGTAGTATTTGGCTATAACTTAAAATGTGTAATAAATTACATAAAATATTAATAATGACTATAAGAAATTAGATTAACGAAATAACAATATAGTATCAAAGGGAAAAAAGAAACAATAAATAAAATTTAACAATATAAATACTTATTTGACAGATTTATGTTAATATTGTGGCTTAATATTACTCATTTAAGGAGTAACAACTATCGCCTAATAACTACATAACTAAAAATCACAATGTAAATAAAATTATTTTTCAAAAATAGGTAGTTTTGTAAGATTTATTATAGTTTATAAATCACAGGATATTTTCTAATATAGAAACAACAATTTTAAGACCGGCATATTATTATTCTCTGAATAAAACTAGCTCATAAGTAAAATGATAATTAATTTAGTCTCACTGTGTAAATGGATTGCTACGTCTTTTTAATGATGACCTTTTCATCTCACATTCTGTTGGCCGAACTACTTCAAATGGTGAGTATACAGGAGCTTGAGATTCTTCTGCATCACTACTTGAATAATCTTCAAAACTCATGTTGCTAAAACCACTATTAGTAGAAAGTGTTGAAACGACTTTATTGGTTACAACTTGAGTTACTTTTTTTGGTATTATTTTCATATAAATAGAATCTTGTGGTTCCAAATCAACTAAAATTGCTTCTTTAGGTGCTGATATACAATGGTTTTCAACTAAATTGTCTTTTTGGAAATATGTACTATCAGAAAATTCAGTTTGTTCAAATGGATTTGTAATTACTTTGAAAGGTACTGAGCCAAATAAATCAGAATGGCCATCATTACATTTTTTTTTTGCTTTTGGGAAAGGTGCTTTTGCAAATACATCAGTATTAGTTAAAGTTTCATATTCATCTCCTTCATTATCAGATATCAAAGGTCTTTCAGCATCTATATTTTTAATAGGTACTGGATCCCTTAGTCTAGTAGCACCTGGTGCATTAGGAGGAGGAATATCATCTCTTGCCATACTCTCACATTCAGCGTGATAAGCTGATGAACCACATGTTAGTACACTATCTTTTATTGTCATTGTTTCAGGAATATTTTTACTTGTATCTTCTTCATCATTACGAGTTTGGAGGTCACTTGCGGACCCAATTGAATCATCATCAGATAGATTTGACTCATTTTGTTGACTTTTATTTTTTTTATCCTTACGGAATCGACTAGATGTTTTAAATTCAGGAATTTTCCTTCGTTTTAAAGATTTTTTCCGAACTTCACCTAACATAGCTTGACTGTCATCTGAAGAAATATCATCAGTATTACAACCCAGTTTTTCATACTTTGAACGATCTTCTAGAGGAATTTTAACAAAAGGTGTAGAAGAGCATTCATCTAGATCATCATCACTTTGAGTATTTGCTACTAACCCTATGGGAAGTTCATCACTATCTGGTTCATTATTTAAAATTAGTCTATCTAATTTTAAATTATGTTCAATGAAGTAGGTTTTCCATTTTTCAGTATTCTTTTTATTATCATTTCCTGAAAATTATAATCATATTTGTGAGTATAATAACATAATACATTGTTATTAAGTAAGTTTTTCCAATAATTTTTTTTTATAAATTAAAAACAAAATTTCATAACATAATATTTGCTATATTTAATATAAGTTGTAGTATAAAAATTATTTTGTATGAACAAATAACATTGCTAATAATACTAATGATTTGATAAAATAATTATTCAATTTCTTACCATTTGATGGTGTCTTGAATGATGAAGATTTTTCTATTAGGTCTTCTAGATAAAAATATATATATATATATTTCACATAATTTTTGTAGATAACATAATTTTTATATAACTTACTTTTATAAGGAAAAGGTGCAGAACCAAATGGATCTTCTTCACAGTTATTTACTTTGAAACCATTTTCCATAGATTTGGATTCTAAACATAAAATAAAAGAAAAAAATGTATAACAATAGAAAATATAAATATTATGGTCAATGAAGAATTACGGGCAGTGTGATACATTGACCAGGCATTATATACTTTGCCCACGTATTTTAGTCAATATAGAATATTTACTTATATGGATTACTTTAATGTGGTAACATAATGTTGCCCAGGTAAAGTTGGGAAATATCATCGATATCATAACAGTAATGGTATCAGATGACATTGTGTAATATGGCTAAATAAAAATACAAAATAATAATTTTAATTAATTAGTTATAAAAGACAATTTCATAGTTGTGTTTTAATAGCTTAAGAATTAAACATTATTGAATTTTTATTGTTTTTTAATAATAATTTTAAAACCAATCTAACCTTTTTCAAAATAAATATTATGTTGTATTCATAGTACTACCAAGGTGTAGGAGGGGTGTAAAAAAAACATAGAAGTTTTTTAGTCGGATAGATTCGACCCTTTGTATTTTGTTGGTATAAACCAGCTAACTTGCCATAAGAAAGTCTCAAGAATAATCTAAAACTAAGTAGTTGGGATTAAGGCGAGGAAGGAGAAGAAGAAGACTTGAAACTATTAAAATTAGTTATACATGGAGTATGTAAAAATATCTAAAAATATGATATGATACACATTAACTATTTTATGCTGGCACACAACTACATTAACATATATATTGACAAATAGAGTGAATGGACAAACAATTAAGAACTTTTCATTTTTTAAATTTTTTATTAATTTAAATTTTGATGTCGCACTCATATAGTTAATAAACATTTGTTTTCTGGAAAATAATCTATTATTATAATGTAAAACTACTTATATTTAATAAACACAAAAATTTTAATTGATAATTTTTTGTTGAACATTTTTATGACAGTTAATGATATTGTATCGAAAATTGTGATAATACAGTATAATTATTTTAAATATTTTCTTTCTTATAAAAACTACAAACTATAATTTGTTACTATGAGATTTGAAAATTTTTTGTTACAATGTTATTTGTTTGTTTGCTGCTGATGTTACCTTATACAGGGCAATTTAATTATCGTTGACAACTGGATTTATTTTAAAATAATAATTTAAAGAGATTTTGTTTTTTGGTAATTAAAGAATTATATTATATTTTTTGATTTTTAAGTGATAAAATATTTTTTCGGCCTATCCTTAAACCATTATAAGGTACCAACTTTATTTTTTTTAAATGACAACATATATGAATTATTAACATTTTTAAATGTAGGATAAAAGTAAAGCATGGGGTATGCTATTTTTATCAAAATGTATCACTCTGCCAAGCTTTTCCACACACACAGGTATAAAAGTATTTATAAGTTCTTAACTAATGGTTGAAAAGTTTTCATAGGTTATATATAAGTTGTCATTTTTTTAGATGGACCATTTTCTATTATATGAGCTAGTTGATTATGTGTTTCCATTTGAAAAAAAAAAGTTTACACCTTAATAAGGTATACACTTAAAAATATTTAAATACTAAAAAATCAAGAAATAAATACATTAAAAAATAAAAATTTAATATATTATTAATTTTAGGAGAAATTTTGTGGTCATCCGAATAAGAAAAATTCAATCATACTATAATAATAATGTAATGCCTTCAAATATAATTGTAATGGAATCTAAAAAAATTTTGTATTGAATAAACTATTTTTTATCTATAGATAAATAATACCTTTTTCATTGTAGAGATTTCCTCTTAAAGGAAAATTTATAGTTTGCTTTTCATGAATAATAGTTTTTAAATGTGTCAAATTTGATTCTTCGAATGGATTCCAAGATGTTTTGCAACTTCCATTGTTAATATTTTCTACCTGAAATTGTATATTTTATTTTGTTATTAACAAAATTTTAATGAATAATTTAAGATGTAAACCAAAAAATTAATGTAGTACCACAGTTTCACCAAAGTTCATAAGAACAATTATAAATTTAGGATACTTAGACATTTGTCCTATCAAATTATCAAAGTTAACATTAGTGAAGAAAACTTTCTCAACAGTTGTATTGAATTTAAAATTACTATAGCCAAAAAATATAAATGTTAAATATTTCTATTTGTATCCTTGAAAAAATATAAGAGGAAAACAAACATTGATTTTTATATTAAAACATTAAAAATATATGTATACAGATAATTATGCTATTTTAATATTTAAAAGTTGTAGAAGGAGGAAAGAATAAATTTAAATCTTATAATCTCAAATAAAAATTTTGTATCTATACATAAACATATATTTCAACATTTTACTAACCAGTAATTTTCAAAAATATATTAAGTTTAAAATAAAAAAAAAATCATAATTATTTTTATTTAAAAATATTATTTTTAATAAACCTTATTTGGAGGTAGTTTATAGGTAGTACTCTATATATTTTCTAATATTATATAAACAAAAACAAATCAAGATAAGACAGGATGATAACTATTTTTGAAAACATATTTTTTAAGTGTGATTGGATTTTATGTTGAGATAAGAAGAGTATAATGTATTTAAATTACAATGTAGTAATATGTCCTACTACAATGTTGAAAATATTGTAAATTTAAGATACACCAAATTACTCCTCTCAACATCTTAAAATAATTTTTAAATATTTTTTTTTAAGATTCATTGTTTATCAATCTTTTTGCAGTTCATTTTGTTTGAAAAATTATCTACAAATCTAGCTTTGAATGTTGTAGATTCTAATACATTTAAATAAATAATTAGGTACTTTATATATATATATAAAATAATATTAGTAAAAAAATCTAAGTCGTTAAATTAATATATTATAATACATACGTTAGGTTTTGTTAAGCATAAATTATCTTGTACATATTCTTTTGAAACTAAATTATTTGATGACAAGAATTGATTAGCATTGTTGATGAATACTCTAAAGAATCACATAAAAAAAATTAATATTGAAAATCAATTCACTTTTATATTTTCTAATTTCTAATGAACAATTTGTTTATTATATCTTATTTAATTTATTATTTAAAATCTCTAATTCCAGAGGGACTTCTCCCTCCATAAGTTTTTCAAAGTTATATTATACTTATAAATTTAAACTTGATAGTGTTGGAATGGAAAATTTTTGAGTTTAAATCTCAATTGAAATGAAATCCTATTTAATGCCTAATTATATATCAATTTATATGAATTATGACTAATACATAAATATATACTTAATTTATTCTTCATATTGTGAATTAAGCACTCAACACTTCAATTTTATATTCAACTAATTAAATTGAATACAGAAAAAAGTATAAAAAATAGTGAATGAGAACATAAATAATTTACAAATAAGAGAATATTCCCAAAAATTAAATTATACATTTTAAAGCTATTAAAATTCTATAAGAAATAAATTTATTTATTATAACTCTTAAAGTATAATGAATAAATGAATATTTAAGATTGCTATTAAGAATGGTACTGAATTTTATTATTATAGTTTCAACATATTCTTATTATATTTTAATCATAATAAGAGAATTATAAATAATTAATTAATTAATGGTATCTTACGTTTTTAAAGAAGATGTATCACTGATATTTCTTTTATGTTTCGGCAAACAAGATAATGGAGATGATGGAATTGATGAATTAACGGAATGTAAAAATGAATTTTCCTTTTTTGTTTCAGTAAATGGATCTGCATAGTCTTAAAATTAATAAATAATGAATTTAAATACATACAAATGCTTAAAATTTTCATAGAAAAATTCGTGATTTTTTTTGGTTTAGGAATTTTTATTGACAATAATTAAAATCATATACAGAATGATTGGTTTATCATAAACTACTCGATTACTCACAAAAAAAATACAATACCGAGAAAAAAAAATTTTAATTTCTTTTAGTTGCATATATTTTTTGATTTATTAGTTATTAATTACTTTTTAGGATCATTCTTTATAATGTAAGGAGGTGATAATTTTTTTTTTTTGAAACAGAAAGATATATATTTAACTAGCTTATCCAAAGAGGAAATAATCTAAATAAGAAGATGACTAGTCAGTAATAACATTTGGACCCATATTTCTGATGTTATTAACAATTTAAAGTAATGACTGAAGGTGAGAATTGGGGGTGCTGCTATTTTAATCACAAGTAATTTCCCATCCACAATTTTCGTCTCACCTAGGTATAAAAATGAGAATAACTTCAGAAGTAAATGTTCAAAAATTGTTACAGACCAGTCATTTTCTTAATTAGATTATTTTCTATTTTATAAGCTAATTAAATATGAATTTTACAATTAGAAAAAAAGTAGGCTCCCCTTTAAAAGTGGTATAAGAAATGATGAAGTCAATATTAGCTGATAAATCAAAAAATATAAATCCAAAGTCTAACCTTTTATTGGAAATCCAGTTGTAGGCCCTTTATCACTAGGTGATGTATGTTGAGGAATTTTATTTTGATGAATTGCATCTGAAGAGTTATTAAATCCACTAATTGGTGTCTGAAAAGCTCGTTTGAATGTAGGAGAAGAACCCAAAGGAGGAGGTATACCACAACTTAAAGGCTTTGGTCTTTGCCTAGGATTTACACTTGTACCTTCTACAACCTGAGGTGTTTGAATATTTTGTTTTACAGGCACTTTTGATGTCTGAAATGTTCGTTTTTCATTTAATAAAGTTACCAATTCTTCAATATTTGGGCTTGAAACATTCTAAAAAGTAAATGATAAAATAAATTAATTTTTAGTTTAAAAATAATACTCATTTTCTATATTACAGATCTACAACTTTTTTTTAAATTTTTAAATAATATGAAACTTGTTTTAGTTTTACACAATTAAACTTTATAAGGTGGAAAAGATAAAAGGACACCTGTAATTTTATCCAACAACTTAATAAAAAAGTACTACTTCAACAGTATAGTATTACTACTTTAACAGTTGATAATAGTTTTAAATTTATAAATGATACTGAATTAATAAAAAAAAATTAAATATATTTATGATCATATAAAATATTTTGATAGTTTTAATAATTTTTAATTAGGACTAGTTTGAAAACCAATATAATATCTGTAGTGTTCGAAAGTGATAAGTATAAAATTGCAACTTTTAGAAAATTAAAATTGAATCTTACATGAAACAAATTTTGTTTAAAAACATAAAAAAATTATTTTATATATTATTTACAAGTGTAAGTTTTATTTTCGTTTTTTTTAAATTTGCCATTTTACATTTTGTTGTGTACTGTTGACTTTTTTCCAAATTATTACAATAAATCTACCTTAAAATAAAATAAAAGTATAATAAAATCAATCAAAATATAGCCAATATTAGATTGCCTCTAATATCAAACTATAATAATTATCCAACAAAATTGTTTAAATTATATGAACGTCTCCATATTTATGTGAGAATTTCATACAAACTACTATGTAAAATAATATTGTACAAAAATAATAATTATGATACAATCCGCTAGTCACTCGTTTGTCTTGGCTCATCCTTGATTCTACTTATCAATGACCACTATAATATAACAATTATAACCCTAAACCCAATACCAGTATGATGATGGAAAATAATCTAAGCGATTGTTGAAAATTTCTCAACGGTATAAAACACAACCGCGATTCAACACATTTTAAACCATCTAATATTTTATTTTTTCGATGACTCTTTTCTAATTAGAGAAACGAATAAAGAACTAACAATAGGTTACTTCACATTTGCTATATATTTTTTTAAGCATAAAAACTAGTCACAATAATATCACTCCGTACTCACTATTTAACAACTAGTAGGCTTCAATAGAACCCACGTCTTCACTATTAATGCTGGAAAAGGCTAAAGATAGAAGGACTAATAAGAGCCAGACATCTGTTGTTCAAGTGACATTTTATTGCTCAACTCAAACACACTTATACCCTTTTACTCGATTAACACAGATACATTTTTATTAAAAAAAGGAATCATACATGTAAGTTTTGAAGTGGACATTCTTTCCCAGCTAACTTGAATGCTATAAATGATACTTGATATATATCCGGTCTTTTTTCAGGTTCAAGTTCTAGCATATACCCTATAAAATATAATAAACAAAATAATTTAAATAAAATATTAAAATAACAATTTGAAACATTAGTGACTAAAAAATTTAATACAGTTACTGTAATATATTTTTTTTAGTTATAAAACTTCTTTTACATTAAATTTTTTTCAGATAATTATCTGTATTCTCTTTCTTTTATAAAAATTTAGTTCTTATTAAGAATAAAAAAATAATTTAAAATGTTTAATAAACATTGTTTATGTGTAAATAGTTGTTCAAATGAAAGATTTAAATTGTCATTCTTATTACTTATAAATTACATTAAACAAAAATTGTTTAATAATATTCAACTTCTTTTTAGTTGGTGTTTAATAGTTTATTAATTAAGTGTCGCGTGCATGTTAATTTTAGGAAAATAAATAATATTAACAATGTGCTATATGTACATGTAACAATCAGCTAATACTTAATATGTATCAAGGGCTCTTAAATGGTAATTTCATTTCACCTAAGAAAACTATCAAAGTGGTTGATGATATAATGAATAATATAATATAACATTAATTTTATTATGGTAATTTAACTAGGTAAGTAGTTACTAGTAATTTATAAAAATAAAACATTATAATTTTTAATTATTATTATTGTTAGAGATCGAACATAGCAATGATGTTGTTTTTTTATTGAGTAAACAACACAATTAATATTAAAAATTGTGGCATAATATTATGTATACACAATTAGATGAATGTTCATGAGCAGTTATTTGAAAAATCAGTAATTTTAACTGAAATCTTAAATTTTTAATTTAAAAAAATAATGTATAAATTATAATATTAAAGAAATATTAGAACCAGAATTTTAGAAGATATTAATTTTTGTATAAAATAATTTAAATATAACAACCAAGGAATGACTATAAAGAATTCCTCGAGTTAGTATTAAATTTTTTTTTATGTAAAGAGTTATAATCATTTTTTCAAAAGCCAGGTTCTATCATGCTCAATGGATGGCAAAGGCTATATATAGCCTCAAAATATTTATATTTAGAGACGAATTTAAACTTACTAGCAGAGAATCACAAGGATTACGCGATGTTTGTTTGTTTTTGGTAGTAGTTTATTTTAAATTAAGAGTCTTTAATGATACAGCCGAGTGTAGCATTAAATTGATCGAAGACTACAATAATATATAAACTAAAAATAAGCAGCAGAAATAATATGTTTTACAAATAGTAAGTGATTATTGGAAAAACTTCCCAATTGAAAAAAAGTACATTAACAAAAAAATATTTTGTAATTTAATGTTATTTAATTTTCTACTTTTATTATTGTTTAAATTAATACTTTACTTTCAAATATTTGTTTTAAAGTTATTATTGTTTTAAATAAAATAAATTAAAAATGATTAATAACAAGTAAAATATTTTACAAAAAAAAATTATATTATAATAAAATCTGATTTTGTTTTCTAAGATATGATTAACTTTCAGATTATACACTTGCAGAGAAATAAATGTATCAATCAAAAAACCTTTAACCAAAAAATATATTATATTCCCTAATCAAAAAATGTAATAATACAATAAATTTAGTTAGGTTAGTAATTAATAATTTAATAACTGGCCATAAAAGAATAAATCTAGTATAATTATTGTACTTGGCATAAAAACTTTTATTATTATTTTTTTTTTTAAGAATAAGCGTTTTCCAAAGATTAAATGAAAATAAATAAGTAAAAATAAACAAAATTAGTTATAACATATTTTTAAGACTTTACTTTTTTTTTTACTACATGTAGTATTTTTTTGGGCTATTTATTAAGAAAACAACCTTGAAGTTATTATTTTTGAATTTCTTGTAAAATTTCTTTTACTTGAGTTTTACTTTCATAATTCTAAGTTAAGCAGAAAAAAAGTTATGAGACATAGATCAGTTATTTTATATTAAATTTGCCTTTTCAACTCTACTTAATTGGTCTGGGGGCACGGGTTAGCCTTAACAGAAGATTCTCAAATATTGCACAGCTCATTTTTTTGAGCATTAAAAAAACATTAAGGGGTAGCATAAAAAACAAAATAAATTCGATTTTGAGGGCCAACCTTATGTGTATATTAACAATGTTAAAAATTTAATAAACAAACTTATAGTAAAAGAAGCTAATGTTCATGAATAACTAATAAAAAATAGCGAAATTAAAGTTTTAACAAGAGATGAATATTAATTTGGTTTCAGTTTAAATAGAAAAATTTTTTTAAAGTAATTATCTGAAAACTCTATCTGTAATATCAAATGATAATTGACAGATAATATACAACTTCAAATTTGGATTAATATAATAATTATACAGACTGAATGCTTTAATTACCGTACCTGAATAAAATCTAAAAAAAATTATATTGCTGTATTACAATCAATGTAATATTCAATACATAACAATCAATTTATTAAATTAGTTAACTAAGCAACATGTAATTATTACAATAATAAAAATACACTAATTGTGATTATAGTAATATGTTACAAACAGGCACAATAATAAACTACTTAAGATTAACTTAAACGTTAGTTCCTTGACTCATTTTTTAATATACCTTATACATGCCAAATAATCATTGTTACAAACACAGATTCATAAAGTTAAATTTTCTTTCAATGAAGTTGTAACTATTCTAAAACTTACTTATAAGTGTCTTTAGTTTAATTGAATATTCAGGTGTATCAGGTATGTTGAATTGGCCACTTTGAATTTTAAGTGCACTCTCACCAAATGGCAAAATAAAGTAACATAACTTGTATAATAGACAACCTAAAGCCCAAATATCTGATTTTGTTGTTATCACTTTGTTGCTATACAGATCAATCATTTCAGGTGATCTATATGATATTGTAGTGTACTTATTAATTTCTTCTTCAACAGCATGAACTCCTTGTACAGTTGGATCAAGTTGACGGGCTGTTGCAGAGCCAAAGTCACACAGTAAATATTGACCACTTTCATTGATCAATATATTTTCTACTTTTAAATCTCTATGTATAATTGGAGTTTGAGAATGATGTAAACGACTGACTGCTTCACAAACATTACAGAAAATGTTTAAAACTTCACTTTCAGTTAACCCAGTTTGCAATCTATATCATTATCAATTTAACTATGTATTAATTATAAAATTTTAAATTTTTTTACAATATATTAACCAGTGACAGAAAAGTTCTTTTTAAAAATAAATTAACTCAAGTTTAAGTTCTTTAAACTAAACAGGAATCAGTTTCTATTCAAGTACAAATTCATAAAAATCAAGCTTGGATTAATGGAGATAAGCGGCAATGTCATTCTCCAAGTTTTAGAATTTTTTAATTAAATCATAGAATAAAATATAAGGCCTAAATTACACACATAAATTATATGCCTCATTCAAATTATTGACTCAGGACCTCAAAATAATTTAATCCATGCTTGATTAAATTGAACTTATTTTTTTAATTGATGAAAACAATTATTGATACAAGTTAAAACCATAAAAGAAAACATTAAATATTAATTCTAATTAAAAATTAATAATGGATATAGTAGTGGCTACCAGTACTAGCATACGTATAGGAATATAACACTTTTCCTTAGTGGCAGAAAATAGTAATGGAGGTTATGTATTACCAATATTTTGCCAGAAATGGCATTTCAATAGTAGTTAAGTACTGGATCATTATTATTATTAATAATATTCAAATATTTATATTTCTAAGTAAAATAGTTATAATTCATGTAACAGAATATATATAAAATAATAGATCTAACTAACAACTCTTGATACAATAAAGATTCACTGTAATTTTTTTTTTTTAATTAATTCATGTGTTCTTTTATAGCGTTAAAATGATATTTCATTTTATTTGTTTATAATAAAAAATTTTGTTTTTAATTTTATATTTTTTTCGTAATAGTTGTTTCTAGATGTAAAACTTTAATGGATGAATAACAATTTTTAAAACGAGTAATTATTGAGTTACAAGTATTTTAATACATTGAGTTGTCAGTTTGATATGTTTCACTTTTATATAAAATTACCTGCTATTCATTAGTGCCAGCACATTTGATGGACAATAGGGCATCAACATAAGAACTTCATAAACTCCATTTCCATGACGAATTATATTGGAATCAATAAATCCAACAATATTTTGATGACCATTTAAGTTGGTCTTAATAATAAAAACCAAGCAATATTAAAATCTGTTGTCAATAAGAATTTGTATTCTTTATAAATTTATATTAATTTAGAATTTTCGGACTACAGGAAAAAGTTTCATTATATTAATAATACTGAAAACTTTTTTATTAATAAATAATTAGTTTTTTTTTTTAGTTATCAGTTTTGTTAATATAAAAATTATCAACACTTAAAATGATTGTTATATTCAATCATATTTAAATATCACCCATGATGATATTATAATATATTTTGATACAATATTATAATTATTCACTTGAATAGTGGCTTAATTATATTGAATATTATTTATATAATAGTATTATTATAAAGTATAGTCAACTTACCGCTATTTGAATTTCTTTTTTAGCTACTCCTAAATCTACTTCATCATTAACAAACATACGTTTTAAGGCATACTTCTTATTATTGTTCTTTGCAAGAAAAACCACAGCAAAACCTCCTATGCATAATAATTTTAATAACTACTTGAATATTAAAAATAAAAATAAATTACCTTCAGCAATCACATCTTCAATAACTACAGTTATCCGACCAACAGTGAATTGTTTACCAATAAAACAATTTGGATCTTTTGAATTATCGATTTTAGAAAAAAGTTTCTTCATAATTTTCTATCTGCTCCAAAATAAAAAAATATATAAAGAATTCCAGTTAGTAATTGATAATAAATACCCACTTGGATATTAGTGACACTGGAAACAATAAATCATTGCTTAAATAGAATAATTTCATAAAAAAAAATATTAGGAAATTGATATCATATATAAAACTATATTGGATTATTTTACGGTACTTTTTGTAAAATCATCAGCAAAAATTAGAGCAAGCAATCGAGGAGGCGTGAGTATTAAGTACTTAGTAATAGATAAGGAGGCCAAATTTTCAATAAAACAGCTGATATATAAGTGCGTAGCTCTAAATTAATATCACTGTACCACAAGTACTAAGTTATGTGCCCACAGTTGAATATTTGGAAACTCCTAAGTTCTGTTTATATAGGTATAATTAGCGATTGACGTACAACAGAACAATTCACATTAATTTAACAAAATGATTATCTCTAATAAAATGTATTAACTATATGTAAATATTTATTATAAGTTAGGTAATAACTCTTCGGTTACTTTGTACTTTAGTTAAGCATTAAAAGATAGCGCTAGCTGAATTATAAAATTAAGTTGATGAAGATGGTAAAATTTTTTATTAATTTTATTATTATTCTTTTGATAGTCTCCATAGTTTTTAATATATATATATCTATTTATATATATTTATTTAATATATAAATCAATTCTATTAAAGTTTTTTTTTACAAATCCAAGTAAAAAATATATCATATTTATTTTTATTTTGGTTTTTTTATAACTCACTTTTAGGTGTTATCTTTCATATTATAAGCAGCCATCTTGTCTTTAATATTTTTGGTAAACTCATACTTAAAGAATATCATTGGGCGTTTACTGTGTGATAGTAAATGTTATGCTTTAGATAATGCTATTCATAATTCAGTCAAATATCAATAAAATTTCGATACGTTAGTAAATAGACTGGAAAAATTCATAGTTCGCAGTTTTCTAAAAAGAAATTAGTTTGATAATTTTAATTACTGTTTCTGAAAAAAAAAATCAACATTTAATTTAGAATATTAGAAATCATTACTTTCTGGTAATTATTTTTTATGACATTATTGATGAATTCTATATATTTTTTATAAGTTTTAAATTATTGACAAAATAATTAAATTAAAATGGAGTGTGCCTTTGATATTATACATTTGCTTTTTAAATCGTTTTTGACAATATGCACCACAAGTAGAATATGATGGAATAGATAAATAAGTAATAGATGAAGAGATGAAAAGTAAAGTAGAAATAGTTAAGTTAAGTGACAGAATTATAGTTATAAAATTCATTTTCGAGGAAAAAGTGTTGAATGTAGTAAGTGACTATGCATCACAAGTAGGATGTGATGAAGTAGACAAAGAAGGGTTTTGGAGAGAGATGGATGAAGTAAGGAATATCTGGTAATGAGAATGTGGTGATAGGTGGTGATTTGAATGGGCATGTCGGTAATGTCGGAGAGAAAAGGATATAAAAGAGTATATGGAAAGTATGGTTTTAGTAGAAAGAATGTGGCTGGAGAAAGAATACTGGATTTTACAGTATTGTATAATCTTGCTATGGTTAATAGTTCTTTTATAAAGAGAGAAGAACATTATGTAACTTATAAAAGTGAGAGTAATGGATCACAGATTGATAATTTTATTTGGAAGAGAGGAAAGCGTAAAGCGAATAAAAGATTGTAAAGTTAGCCCAGGTAAGAGTGTAACAACACAACATAGACTGATTGTAATAGTTGTGATGCAGCGGAAAGAGAGTATACAAAAACTAGAAAGAACGCAGGAGAAGTTTAGGGGACCCGGTGGTAGAAATTTAAAAGAGAAAAAGAAAAAGAGTTTTTAAAGAAGGTAAAAGAGAGAACGATGGGGAATGTTGAGGGAGACATAAATGATGTGTGGAATATATTTGCTAGTTGTGAAAAGAAGATTGTTTGGTAAGAGTAGAATGTTAGGAAACAAGGAAACCTGGTGGTGGGATGAGGACGTTCAAAAAATCATAGAAAGTAAGAAAAATCAATTCAATGTATGGCAGAAGATCTAAAGGAGAGAAGATTGGATGGAGTATAAACGCATGTGCAAAGAATCCAAGTGTGCAGTAAGGCAAAGTTTAAGAGGTATGATGTGTTGTATGATAGGCTAGGAACAAAGGAATTAAAGTAAGAAATCTATAGACTTCCAAAAGTAAGAGAGAAAAGGTCTAATGATTATTATTATATAATGTGTATACAAGGTGTTGATAATAAGGTACTCTCAAGTGATGATGATGTGAAAAAAAAGTGGAAAGAGTATTTTGAAAAATTACTGAATAATGAGTCTCCAAGAGAGACATTAGAGGATATCTCATGAAACAATAGATTGGTAGATTTAATTAATGAGAAAGAGGTATGGGAGACTGTGGCATGAATGAAGAAGAATAAAGCAGTAGGACACGATGAAGTGCCAGTAGAAATATGGAAAATATTGGTGGATATTGGCATAAGGTGGTTGAAGGAACTTTTAAATAAAATTTTATTAGAAGGGAAAATTCCAAATTAATGGAAGAATAGTATTGTGGTGTCAATATTTAAAGGTATAGATGACATACAATGTGTGAAAATTATAGAGGCATAAAGCTTATGAGTCATAGTATGAAATTTGGGAAAAGGTAATAGATAAGAGAATAAGAAATGAGACATCGGTATCTAAAAACCAGTTTGGATTTATGCCTGATAAGTCAACAATGGAGCCATTATTTTGTGTGAGGCAACTAATAGAAAAGTTTAGGTAAAAAAAGAAAATGCTTTGTATGGTATTTATAGATTTGGTGAAAGCCTATGATAGAGTTTAATGAGAAAATGAGTCCAGAAAAAATACATTAATATGATAGAGGATACGTATGATGGCACTTGTATTAGGGTAAAAAGTGTGGGAGGAGTAACAGAAGGTTTTCGGGTAAGAGTAGTACATCAGGGTTCTGCTTTAAGCCCTTACTTATTTTCTGGTGGTAATATATATCTTAAATTAAAACTTATGTAATATACTTTAATTTGAAAAAAAAAAAATTTGACCTCTGGATTTGTCTTCATGGTGAAAATGACTATGGTAGTCATTTTCAACATATTTTTGAATATGGTATTCAAAAATATGCTATTTTTGTGTTAAAATTCTGGGTTTTGTATTTTATTTTATTTTAAAATACATGACAAGGGGAGTACACTGATTTGCATAAATATTATATAAATAAAATTGATATAGCATAGAAAGTTAAACTTATATAAATTTGTTTGCTTTTTTTAAGTCGAGAAAAATAACTTTGAAATTTGAAATAGCTTAAATTGCCATTTTTTTCAGTCGACGGTAGCGACGTACAGTTGCTGAGTCAATAAAACTTGTGTTTAACACGCTTGGGGTACAAAGAAACCAACCCTTTTATGGCAAGGAAATTGTTTGCATTTTTTTCTTAATTCTGTTTAGAATAAGTTAGAATAAATTTTCAACTCGTTTTATTTTTATCTCATTTAGATTCAATAAATGTAATTTTTTAAAGTGTTGTTTTTTAGGGATTCCATCAACTTAATGTTATGGATCCTTGGGTAGTTACTCCACTAGAATGGAAACGGTTTTGCGACCATTTTCAAGCTCTTAAACCATTTGATGGAATGGTTACTGGAGAACAAGCAAAAGGATTTCTCCTTCAGTCAAGATTACCACCACAAATACTTGGTGCAATATGGTATTCATACTTCATTTTTTAAAAGTGATATTTTCATTCTTATTTAAATTCAATGGTTTATTTCATCAGGGCTCTTGCTGATACTGATGCTGATGGTCGTATGAATATAATTGAATTTACCATTGCTTGCAAATTGATAAGTTTAAAACTTAGAGGATTAGAATTACCTAATGTCTTACCAAGTAATTTATGGAACTCTATTCAATCATTAAGTGAGTAAATATATTGTCATTCAATTGTTACCCATACATTTTTACATTAATAATTTTAGATTCAGTTACAAATGTTTCAACTCCATCTCTGTCAACACCTCCTTCACAAGTTCCTGGAGCTGTACCTCCTATGAGTTTACCTTTAACTGCTGTTTCACCAACATCAATTTTACCACTCGCTTCACCAATATTACAACCTATAGCTCCTTCTCCAGTTAATATTAATAGTTCTTCTATAAGCCAATCACCCCAGCAAATAGTTAAGTCTTCACCTGTGTTATCAACAAATAATATAAATGAAGTTATTGTTGGACAACCTAGTCCACCGTCTAAACCAGTAACCCCTGTCTGTGCATCCCGTAAGTAAATTATTTTCTATTAGTGAAAATGTTTGTTATGAATTTAATTTTTATTAATTTATTAATCATTTAGTTACTAATACACCCATTACTTCAATGCCAATGCCATTACCAATAGAATCGCCGTAAGTTTCTAATTATTACAATTATACATGTCAAACATTTTCTTAGTTACCATCAAATTTTAAGGAAGATAATTTTATCTTTTATTTGTATTTAATATGATTTTGATTTTTCTCTTTTTGTATAATTTTAGAAGTTAGTTAACTAAGACCAAGATACAACACTCTCCCCTAAAATCCTGTATACAAGTAATTGTCCAGTATTGGTAATCTATAATAAAAAAATTAAAAAGGATAATAATTTTATAGTATTTGTTGAAAGTTTTAAATAGATATCAAACTGGTTCTTAAGGCTTACTTAAATTTGATATGAAAGTTATAACACGTAAAAAACTTCCATAAGATAAATTCATAATATATTTGTAAATACTTAGAAAAATTTTTTTTGATCGATTATTTTGCTTCAAATTCTTATAAGGTTCTGGTTAAAAATGTTTGATGTAATTTGAGTGTTGTTTGTCAAAAATTCGAAAATGTATAATGTATATCATACATATTACACATTGTTTCACATAATTTTTCTCTTATGTGTTAATAAATGAAAATAAAAAAAAACTATTTTATTAAATTAAACATTAACACATTAAAAAATTATTAAATTTAAGTGGAAATCAAGAATGGGCTTTACCGCATCAGTCAAAACTCAAATATACACAATTATTTAATACAACTGATCGTACAAGGACAGGTTTTTTAACTGGGGTACAAGCTAGAAGTATTATGTTAGCTACTCAGTTACCTCAAAATGTTCTTGCCCAAATATGGTAATATTAATTTAGATTTAATACTTCTTTAATTTATTTAAAATAATTATTTTTCTCGTAGGAATCTATCTGATTTGGATAAAGATGGTCAATTATCTTGTGATGAGTTTGTTTTGGCTATGTATTTATGTGATTTAGCTAAATCAGGAGAAAAAATTCGTATACCATTACCTCCAGAGCTTATACCCCCATCAATTAGAAGACAACGACAAAGTAGTTTAACAGCAACTAGTGAAGGAACACCTGAATCTGATACTACTCCTATAAATCAAACTACATTTGAAGATAAGCGTAAAGAAAATTTTGAAAAAGGTCAAGCTGAATTAGAACGTCGTCGTAAGGCTTTGTTGGAAATTCAAAGAAAAGAACAAGAAGAAAGAGAACGAAAAGAGCGAGAAGAACATGATAGGAGAGAAAAAATTAGATTAGAACAAGAAAAAAGAAGACAAGAAGAATTAGAGATTCAAATGAGAAGACAGAAAGAATTAGAACAAGAAAAAGAAGAACAAAGAAAAAGAGCTCAAGAACAAAGAGAAGCTGCACGAAAGTAGATAATATATGTTATCATAAAAAACATTGCTCTCATTAAATATTTAAAAAATAATTATTAAATTACATTAAACAGATATTAAAAAGTATTATTAGATATCTTGGTTTTTTTAAATAATGGTTAGTGTTTTTAAAGACATTCTAAAATCAATTTCTTTAGGTCATAAACACACCTCATTTCATTAGAACTGTTATACACACATTTTAAACTGGTACCTTACAAAAATTTCTAAATTTGTATAGAGAAATGGAAAGACAACGTCAGTTGGAATGGGAAAAACAAAAATGCATGGAACTACAACAACAACGTCATAAAGAACAAGAAGCTGTTTTGAAACTTAAAGCGAAAAATCAAAATTTAACCATTGAGTTGCAACAAATGGTAATTATTATAATTAAATTTAAATAATTGAAACCAATTTTACCTGATTATTTTTATAGACTGATAAGACTAAAGAGCTATCTCAAAAAATTAGTGAAACTCGAGCTAATGTAACTGGTGTTAAATCAACTATTGATAGTATGCGGTCGACTCGTGACACACAAATGAATGAAATGTCCCGCTTAAAATGTATTTTAAAAGAACAAAATCAGCGTCTTATTACTCTCAGTCAAGAAAAAATACGTCTTGAATCTAAAAGTAAATCAAATTCTCAAAATGTTACTGTTGAGATCCAAGAACAAGCTCAGTTGTCACTGACTAACAAAAAGTTAACTATAAAGAGCTTGGAAGAAAAAATCAGTGATCTTAACTCTAAGGTAACAGTTTTTTCTTTAATTATTTGAATACAAGAGTGTGTATATTTTTTTTAATTACAAGATACTATTTATATATTAATTAATTGCTTTTTTAATTATTGCTGACTATTAAAAATGTAATGTACTTATTTATCTTCTTTTTTTTTGTTGCAAGATTGAATTAAAGAAACAAGATGTTGAAAATAATAACGGTACCCTTGATCAGTTGAAGAAACAGTTAACAAAACTTATTGATGAATGTGAGAAAATTTATCCAAATTATGTTGAAAAAACACAAAAAGTTATGGATATGAAAAAAACAAAAATTAAAGAGATGTCATCTTGGGGTGATGACGCTTGGAATGTGGCTCCTACTACAGATTGGGGTAGTGAAACGTCACAGAGTCAAGGTATTTTTTATTTTTCTAATTGATATTTTAATTAGAAACATATATCTAGTATAGCCCGAAATTGAAATTGATTTAATTGAACGATTAAAATTGTTTTTAGAGTCAAGTGCTTTTAAAAATTGTCGAGCTCTATACGAATTTGTAGCTCGAAATTCTGATGAACTATCTTTTCAACCGGGTGACATCATTATGGTTCCAATTGAACAAAATGCAGAACCTGGATGGTTGGCTGGGGAATTCAAAAATAAAACTGGATGGTTTCCTGAATCATATGTTGAAACAGTTGATGGTACTGATGATATTCGTAGCATAATAGCTAACAGACAAGCACCACCTGAAAATAATCAAGTTACTACCACAATACCTCTAGAGTAAGTATTATTTAACAGTGTTCTCTAGTTAAATACTGAAACAAAAAAATTAATTTTTAATAGATACTTAATAAGTTTTTTTTTTAATGTATTTATATTAGCAACTGTTTTTACATTAAAATTATTGCCTAATTTTTTTTTCTATTTTTTAAAATTATGTTTATATTTTTCATTTATATTTGTATATGAAATATTAATGTAATGTTATGTATAATTTTTCTTTTATAGTGGAATTTCTGAGCTACCAGAAAATGATTTTGATAAGGATTTTAATGTTAAAGTCACTGATAATAGTAACTACCCATCTTCTGAATTAATTTTGGGTTATGGTACTGCAGTAAAATTTACTGTTGAAGTTTTGAAAAATTGGTCAGGAAAAGACAATTCCTTTCTTACTATCAAAACTGGAGAACTTATTGAAGTATCTGAAAATCAAGTAAATATTTCCTTCATATTTATGGTCCTGTACAGACCTACAATCTGGTAACATTAATTTCTTCAATTGTCAATTAACTTGTGCATAAAAAAATAAGCATTACCTTTTATCTCTTAAAAAGAGATAATGTGTATGTTACTCTCTCTATAAGCTTGTGAGATTATCAGTGCTGCCATGGAAGCAACTGAGTGATTACCAGGCTTCAATCAAAAATATGATACTTATAATAAATATGATAACTCTAAATAAATAATTATTTAGTTAATTATAATTAATATTTAGTATTTATTTATCACTTAAAGTTTATTTTATGTTGTAGGGAGATTGGTGGTATGGTACATCTTCTAATAATCGGTCTGGATGGTTTAATAAACAAATGGCTAAAGTAATAAAAAATGACTCTGACAATACGTCAACTTTTAAACAAGGTTTATTTCTTAAATTGTGTTCAACTGAAAATATTAAACTCATTTTTTTATTATTTATGTGTGCATTTTATTTAGAATATTATACTGTGCTTTATCCTTATGAGTCTGTTGAGCCTGGTGACTTGAATTTATATCAAGATGAAGTAGTATTAGTAACTAAAAAAGATGGTGATTGGTGGACAGGTATAATTGGTGATAGATCTGGTGTTTTTCCTTCTAATTATGTTCAACTTCTTGAACCTCAGGTAATAAAAAAATTTTTTTAATTAGGAACATTTCTTGTTTAAATTATTTTCGATTCACAATTATTACCTTAATATTATATTGGAAGAAATTGAAAAAATAATTATTTATCAATATATACTGTTTTTGTTTCCAATGTTTTAAAAATATCTAAATATTCTCTCAATAGTTATAAAATGAAAAAAATGCCTTAAAAAAATAATAAGTTGCAAGAAATACAAAATAAAAGTTTTATTTTCAAATTCTTCCTTTCATAAATTAAATTTTGTACTTGGAGAGCATCTTTTCTTTGATTGAAATGAAATAAAATAACAAAGTGAATTAAAATCTCAGTTTTTTTTTAAAAATTTTGATATAATTTCTATTAATTTAATAAAGGGTACACTAAAAAAACAAAGTAAGTCTATTTATTTCATAATTAAGATTTTGGTGACAAATAAATTTGATATATCATTATGTATCTTTAAGTTAATGGATAAAGTTGATTATTTAAAAGTAATGATCTTTAAAACTTATAGTATACTCTCAAATAACATGTCGTTTTGAAATAAAAAATTCCTTTTTCCGAATTTACAAAAAATTGACTTACCTTGTTTTCTCTGTGAACCTTTAATATTTATACTACATTATTTTTAAAGATATTGCTTTGTAAAAACTTTCTTGTTGCCCAACGTTTGGGTTACTGTGGCATTGCAAGAAATTTTTTTTTGGGGGTTTGAATTATTATTTTAGGTTTTTTATTATTATTTTATAATAAGTCTTAATTTAAATTAATTTTTTTTTTTTGTTTAAAATTTGTCTAAAGGTATGTCCAGTTCATCATTACACATTATGTAATAATATATTACATAACACTATACATTTCTAAAAAAATTAATTATGACCAGGGCTAGTGTTAGAATAAGTAAAAAACATGTAAAAATATTTTGCAGAGTTCTTATTTATAAAAAAAAAATATTTATGCTTTATTAAATTGTTGTTATTAAGGACTATTTTAAGCATTGGGGTACACTATTTCCACTAGTTTTATTTATGTGTTAAAACTAATATATCTTTTAAATTATGGGTGTTGAAAGTTGTTAGAAAAAATTTAATTTAAAATTATTCTGTTATTATCTATAATAAAAATTTTGGCTTTTTGAGTGTAAGATCCTTGTTGTTTAAATAAAATCATTAGGTTTTTTTATTTTTCAACTTTTCAAGAAAGAAAGAAAACTATTAGCTTCGATGCGAAGCTGAGAATGTATTAATTTTACTATGATGTGTTTATTTTTTTTTGTGTCTGTCACTACTTTTTCTCAGCTCTCACTGGACCGATTTCTTTCAACAATACGTCAAAAGATCACAAATCGTATCTAGTTGAAGACATTACCCTTAAAAATTAAAAAATTTTCCCTCGTTCCCTGCAAATGGAGGAAATATTCAAAAAAATTACAAATTTAAAAATCGACATAATTTTTTTTTATACTAAAACCTTAGATATTTCACTTTCATTTGATATCATTTTTTTGAAAATCTAATACTTAACCTGTTCGTTGGGGGGGATTTAAAATAGTAACTTTTTTACAAAAACTAACTTTTTCAACTTAATTTTTGAAAATGTTCCGGAAATACTGCGTCCTTTCAACAAATGTCAAATTAAAGCTTATGTTATGTACTATAAAATTTAAAAAAAATTTGTCCCGACGACCTATTTTCTATGTGCAAATGGCTATCGTATTCAAAAATATGCTATTTTAACAAATTTTTTTTTTTTTAATTAAACACTATCTACAGATTTGCATCGAAGCGTTTCTTATGATAGTGATTTTAATCACTGTCAGATATCATCTATACTGGACCCAACTATGCCACGACCCCACTGTGCCGCCACCCCACTGTGTTTTTTTGTTGTTATTTTATTTGACAAAAATTTAAGTATAAATATTGAATTTTTAAAAAAATGTACTTATCAATTAGTTTATTTGTATTAAAATGTAAGTAATTACAACATGTGCCTTAAATAAATATATGAAGATGTGTAATAAATATTTTATAAATTATGTAGCCTAAAGGATTTTTGGAAAAAAATCCTCCTTTAGAATCTGCAGCATCAGTAAAATCAGAAACTTCAGTTACTTCTTCTCCTTTAACAACACCAATACAAATGGAATCTCAAAAAATTGGAGAAAGTAGATCTATCACACCAGATTTATACTCAAATAAAGTAATATATATATATGTATAATATAGATTTATGTATAAATTAAGTTGTAATTTTATTAATAGAATTTGATTTTATAAATATAAAAAAACAATTAATCGCATCAATGCTAATATCACCATAACAAAATTTTAAATTTTCAAAAATAATTGCATTATTCTAACTAATAGTTTTCAACTTATTAGTTTATCCATCGACTTCATTGATGGAGTTAGTGCAATAACTGGATATATGCACTTTTTCTTTCAAAATTCTTGTTTTCATATTATTCAATAGAAAATAGTTTTACTAAAAAATTGTTGTGATAACCAGGTATGTCTATTTAAAAATTAGATATCATTATTATAAAGATATCTAATACAGTTTTTAATAACAAAATTATTTAATATTTTGTGATTCTGAATAATTTCAAAACATGGATGTCACAAATTATTGCACTGGATGAATCCTTCTATTTATTATCTTGAAAAATTTTTCATTTGATTTGTAATCATGATAATGATATTTTTTTTTTTTAGAAGGATAATAGTGCTGCTGAAGATAGTGAAAATGATGATAAGGTAAGATATTTATATAGTGTGGGCTAAGAAAACGCTACTCATCAGATAAGTGATAAAATATAATGCCTCTATTTTATCCAACACTCGCTCAGTTGCGTTCTTTCATAAATTACAGTGTAGTAATTAAATTATCATATCATATTATAAGTGTAAGACAACCATTTGAAATTCATGCTTTTTGAAATTTTTATATAATTTAATATAGTTTATTATTCTTTATCTTAATATGCCAGAAACTTCCATAAAAGTTGACTTAAACTTAATATAAATGCTAAAAACAATGTAACTCTTTAGAAGGTTGAAACTTTAAAACTATTTATCTTAAAACGGCTCTTTTCAAGATTGTCTTCTTTACATTTACAATGAGATATAATTAATTGATTTCATGGTTACAAAGGTTTAAAGTTTGTAAGTTGTTATAATATTATTACACGAAGCAATTAGTAATATTAAGTATTATCTCATTATTTTATGCAATTATTTTTAAATTATGGGCTAAAAATGTTAAAAATTAGAAAATAAAAACATCAAACTGTAATTATTTCTTAAAAAATGAATAGAATTATTATTATACAAATATAATAAATTTCTCATATTCACCCTAAATTTATGATATTAAATATAACAATCGATTGTTTGAAGGATGATAAAAAAAAATTGTACATAAATTTAAAAATAATTTTACATAAGTTTTAAAAATTTTTTGAGAATTATTTCAATAATTTGCTTAAATTCCTTTTTTTTAAATAGTTATTTATGATGATAGTTATTATGATAGTAATGCATTTTTTTTATTATAGTAATTTTTATTTTTCATTTATGTAATGATTTCAAAGGTTACTAAAGGATCTAAAAAAGCTGAAGTTGCGACAGTTATTGCACCTTATACTTCAACAAGTGCAGAACAATTAAGTCTACAAAAAGGACAGTTAGTAAAAATAAGAAAAAAGACAACCACTGGATGGTGGGAAGGAGAACTACAAGTAATAAAAATAACTTATGTTATTGAGTTGCTCATTAAATTAATATTATAGCATTAAAAAAGATCCCAAATAAAAAAGTTGAATGTTTAAATTTTAACCAAAAGTAAGAAGTTAAAATGTATTAATAAATCATAAACCAAACATTTTGTTGTATGACTAAAACAATATAGAGGTAATGTACAGCATATAAAATAGGAACAATATTTTATTTCTTGAATTAAAAAAATAAAACACAACTTACTTGTGTTTTATAACATCTTATTAAAAAACAACTTACTGTCAAATACTATGAAATAGATTGAATAATTTTAAATCACGAGTAAAGAAAATTATATGGTCATCCAAAATTATTAACTATTTTGAATATTTTTAAGTCATCTGCATAAACTTTTATTTTCATAGAAGAATAGATATTCTTATAAGATTTTGCATTACTTTCATATATCATTGAAACTGTAGTTTCTATTTATGCTTGCATATTTTTTATAATTACTGTGGGATTGTTTTTTGTTTTTTATTGAAAGGATAAGCTGTATTCTAGACAATGCTTCATAAATAAATTTTATTTTTGGTACTTAACTATTTACGGAATATAAGAAGTGTTCATAAACATTTTTATTATTATCATTGGAATTGAGTATTGATGACCATTTTAGGGAAAATAAGTAACTATTAATATTATGATGATCAGATTTTTTAAAGTCATATACAGTGAAAGTAGTATGCATATGGTGCACTAATTGAAAAGTGTTATCTATGTGTAGAGCAGAATGGAAAATAAGATTCGGCTTGTTTAATTTGTACAGTTGCATCCAATATGAATACTAAATCAAGGGTTCTACCTAAATTATTTAAGAAAATCTTAAGTAACTCATAATATTTTGAAAGTTTTTATGGTATTCTGGAATACAAATGGTTAGTGAATCATCATTGCTATAACTAAAATAGGGAATAATAAAATCACAACATATAATAAATTTATGTTTACCAAAAGAATTGTATAGAAGGCTTAATTCATTAACAAAATTTTCTTTGCTATCTACTATACAAAGTGATTTTTTTTTATCATAACCCACTCAATTATTTACTAATCAAAATATTTCAAACATTTTCTTTTTGGTTATCTTTAGATACAAATTATTCTTGATTTATTAGTTATGTAATACTTTTTTGGTTCATCTCTTATTTCCTATAGTGTCGACTTTGTTTTTTTAATTGGGAATACATATTTTAATTTTAATAAAATATTTGAGTTTTTAATTTAATAGTAATAGCATTTGAATTTTTAATTTCAATTTATTTGTTTATTAGATATAAAATTTTTAAGTTTCAAATTTTTGAATTAATATACTTATATAATACACAAGAGATTATCGTGAAATCGTTAAGCGCTGTCAAAGTGATTGTTGAACAAAAGGATTATTTCTTAGTTCTTTTCTTATAAAACCTATGCAACGAATAACAAAATATCCATTACTCGTTCAAAAGGTAAATTATGAACTCACGCTAAAAAAATTATTTGAAAGTAAAAAATTAAGGATTAAAAACCTAGCGCAGTGGGGACGTGGCATAGTTGGGTCCAGTATACATGACATCTAACAGTGATTAAAATCACTATCATAAAAAACGCTTCGATGAAAATCTGTAAATAGTGTTTAATTTGAAAAAATTGGTGGATTATTCCAAAAGCAACATGATCTCCTATTTCCTTATTTGTGTCCTGATTACAAGTTTTATTATTTAGAATTATAATATATGAATAAATATTTATTATTGCAATTAAATATAGTATGTGATTGATATATATCAATCACATTTATAAATTATTAAATATATTTAATAATTTAGTATTGTAATTTTATCAGAGACTTTATAAAAAATTATAAAATAGTTATTACTTTTATGACAAACGTGTATAAAAATTAACGGGCTTAATATAAAAATTTTCTGAAAAATAATTTGTTGTTTATTTTGAATTAAAGGTTTTAGAAGGAATTTTCATCAGATTCAAAAATATACTATTATTATTTAATTTTTTCGTGCCAATTTCAAATCTGCAATTACATTTTTTCTATCACCACTAAATTTTAATATTATTACTAATTAGTTAAAAACTATAGAATATAATTATAAGGAATATAGTTTTGAATATTTCAATTGTAGCATCTATTTTAACAACAAGATTTACTTAAAAATAATTAATATTTCTATTGAAGTGATTTATGAATACAAATAAATCCTCGAAACACTTTTCAAACTCGATCTTTGGGATAGCCTTCAGTCCATTCAGTGATGCGCTTTTAATGTCATGCTTGTAAAACGATAGCCCTTTAAGGTTTTCTTTATTTTTAGAAATAGAAAAAGTCATACGGAGCCATGTCTGGCGAATATGGAGGCTGGGACATCGTTACAATGTTGTTTTGACCAAAACCTTATGAACATGCAATGAAATATGATCAGGTGCATTATTGTGGTGCAAAAGCCATGAATTCTTTTGCCACAAATCTGGGTGTTTTTTCAGATTGCTTCACGCAAACGGCTTTGAACTTGTAGGTAGTACTCCTATTTGACCGTTTGACCTCGTGGCAAGAATTCATAATGTACAATACCATAAAAATCGAAGAACACAGTGAGCATAACCTTTACGTCCGATCGCATTTATTGAGCCTTTTTCAACTTGGCGATCCAGAATGCCTTCACTGTGACCCTTAGTTTCGACGTCGTATTCATAAACCCATGTTTCGTCAATTGTTATAACACGTTTCAGTAATTCTGCATCGTCGTTGACTTCTGAGCAACTTCCATCATCGCTGGTTTTGTTCAAATTTCAAAAATTTTGGAACAAATTTTGCTGCTACGCATTTTATTTCCAAATATTCGAACAAAATTCATTGCATGAGCCAATCGATATTTTCCAACATCATTAGTGACTTCTCTGATTGTAATTCGGCAATCGTTCATAACTATTTCTTTTACTTTTTCCACGTTTCCATAGGTTGTTGATGTACTGGGATGTCCGAGACGTTTGTCATATTCAATGTCTTCACGGCCATCTTGGACACGCTTATATCACTTGTAAACCCTTGTTTTACACATGTCAAACTCGCCATAGGCTTTTGTTAACATTTCACACACTTTGTTACACTTCATTTCATTTTTACGCAAAATTTGATACAAATCCTTTGATCAATTTTTTTAATAAACAAAAATCGCCGATCTCAAAAACACGTCTAACCTTAGCGGTTGCCACTGAAAAAGTAAAAAATGAATCCAGCTGGAAATTTTATTATACTTCAGGGACATAATGTACCAAAATTATGAAAAAAAAATTTGATAATCGGACTCTTGTAACCCGCGAAATTTAAAAATTCCCGTTATTTTCTGAACACACCTCTTACATTTTGGATAAAAAGGACGAATTAAGTTAGTTCGAAAATTTAAAGTCGTTTTTTTTAACGTAAAATGCAAAATATTTAAATAAATTAAAATTTATATTCACTTTAAGTTAGATTCTTGTAACTTTTATTAAAAATGGTGAACTCATTACTATGACAAACCCTTGTAAGGTATTTTAATAATAATAAAAAAAAAATGTTATAGAAATATTAAATCAAAAATATGAAATCGAGAATTTTAACACAGAAATGGCAAATTTTTTAATACGGTAGCCATTTTCACCATAAAAGCATTATAAAGTTCGAATTTCTTTTTTTTCATATTAAAGTATATTAGTGATATTATATATTAAAGTAAATTTAAAATATATATAAAAGTGTCAGTATTTTCGAAACAATTTCAAAACTTATGTTGAAAAGTTTATTTTTTGTGGAAAAGTTGCCATTTTAAAATCTTTCCTGTGGGCAGGTAAAGGGTCACATTTTTAAAAAAATATATGTCAAATGATAGGTAAATACCTAATGTATTTAAAAAAAATAAATTAATCCATACATTTTTGAAAAAGTTAAGGCAGTTTTAAGTAAAAAATAATTTGAAAAAATGTCGAAATTTATCGATTTTTAAAATTGTAATTTTTGGGGGATTTATCCCATTTACGAAGAATAAGGAAATTTTTTTCATCAAAATCGGTTCAGTGAGAACTAAAAATAAGTGATAACAGACACAAAAATTAATACCTTCACAGCTTTGCATTGAAGCTAAAATGTTTAAACCATTTTGATTCTGTAAGTAATTGATTAGGTTATGATAAAAAAAACATTTTGTATATATAGTTATAATAATATTTTTTATATGATTTTTATTTATAATCTCTATTACTATTTAAGTGTTCATTTATTTAATTTTGTTCTTAGGGCTTTTACATTTTGATAATAGTTATAAATGCTGTTAATTAATCCATTAAGTGCTGCTCGTTTTTTGATTTTTTAATCATTTTAAGTTTTCCTAACTCATATTTGATGATTATATCATTTTCAATTCTTTGTTTTAATTCCTCTCTAGTATTGGAGATGTTGTTGCTACATTTTTATTTGATCATTTTTTAAATATACACCCACTCTATCACCTTTAGATTGGTGTTTCCTCAATATTGTTTTTGCTTCAATATCCAGGATAAGTTTTCCTGATCTTATGGTTTTTATGTTAGCAGGTTTCAAACCCAATAAAATTTTATAATTTCAAATATTGCACTTTAATCATGTATAATCCTTTTAGCAATAATAGAACTATTTACTATGTTTTAACCTATCACATTTTTAGCTCATTTTTGCTTCTAGGTTAATTTAGCTACAATACTATTAACATATAATTTTTTTTCACGAGTTTAAATTAATTATATCAGATTTTAGTCTACAAGTATTGTCCCTCAATCCTATCATAAGTGATTTAATAGATGGGATTTGTGATATTTCTTTTTCACATTTCTGACATAAGAATTTAAGTTTNTTTTTAAATTAATAATATTTTTAATATAGTTTTAATTTTACTTAATTAACTAGCCACAAGTGATCAATTTTTATTATATTTTTATTTTTAAAATTAATATTACACTTTAACTTAGTGGCACATAATTTTGTTTGTATATTGTTCAGATGAAAAATATTTGTACAGCTGTCACACGATAAGAAATTATTAGTCTTATCTTGACATCAATAGCTTGATTACAACAAGAACCGCTGTTACGATTAACTATATTAAATGACACTATTGTGACTTTTAAAACTGTGTACTAGAAATACTCATGGACTGTGGAACCAATCATTAAGAAAATAATTATATCTTTAAAAAGATAGTTGATGAATTTAAAATAATAAAATTTTCATTTTTATTTTATTAATTTAGGCAAAAGGACAAAAAAGGCAGATTGGATGGTTTCCAGCTTCATATGTCAAGCCATTAGGTGGAAGTACTGGTAGGGCAAATTCTCCAGCTATAAAAAATAATACCCCAGTAATGCCTGTAACAACTACATCAACTTGTTCTAAAGGTAAACTATTTTATTTTAATTTAGATGTTGCAAATCAGTATCAAAAAAGAGATGTATAAATAGTATTTCCCATAAAAAAATTGTATTGATCCATACATTTTTCAAAAAGTTATAGCATTATAAAGTTAAAAATATAAAAAAGAATTTTTTACAAAAATCTTATTTTTTTATTAACTTAGATATCCGTTTTCACCATGAAGCCAAGATAAAGAAAACATTTTTTTTTTCATATCAAAGTATATTACATAAGCATTAATTTAAGATATATATAAAAGTATTAGTATTTCCGGAACACTTTTAAAAATTAAGTTAAGTTTTTAAGTTTTGAACCCACTCTGTATAAAGGGAAATGGTCTGATTTAAAAAAAAATATATCGAATGAAAGATACCTTCTCAGCTTTGCATCAATACTAATAAAATTTCAACACAAAAATAGCATGTCTTTTAACTATGGCAATCATTTACACGTAGAAGATAAGTCATCAGGACACATTTTTTTTTTTACTATATATATATATTAGGATGGTCCTTAGTTATAGAAGAAAAAATTTTTTTCAGAAATTCAGAGTCATGGGCTCAAAATTTCGTTAGGTTCACTGAAAAAATGAAACTGGTAAAATCTGAGTACAATTATAGATCTTAGTTTATATAACTAATTGTTTACCATAAAAAATATTAAAATTTAATTTTTATTATTTTTGTTGTCAGTTTTATTTATTTTACCAAACGTAGTTCAAATATTCAAGTATATATATATTAGGGTGGTCCTTATTTTTCGACTTCATAAATTCAGAGTCATGGGCTCAAAATTTCGTTAGGTTCACTGAAAAAATGAAACTGGTAAAATCTGAGTACAATAAGTCAACCCCTTCACGTGCCTCAAAGGGGTTGAAGTTCTTCAAAAATGGGGTGGATTTTCTTTTTTTGAGTGTACGCTCTTTATTTTTGAAGTTTCACCAAAAACACAAAGAACAATTTTTATAGAACTAAATGTGAACAAAAAATAAGGTAATTTATTATTTTTTTGTAAAATTAATATTTTTCGTAAAAATAAGAAAAATCTGTTTCACTTATTTTTTTTAAAAAAATGACATAGTTTTCAGTTATACTTTTCCAGTGTCTTAAATTTTAATTGTACGCAGAAATTGTACAGAAGTAATATTAATTACCGTGATATCTTCTATAAAAAACGTTATTTGAGTTTTTTTTGAATTATCAATCCTTTCCAAATAAAAATTTAAAACAACTACGAAAACGTGTTTTTTTTTTTAAATTTTTTTTGCATGTATGTTTTTTTGTTCATAAACAAACAAATTTTCTTAGTTATATTAATTAAAAAAAAAAAAAAACAAACAATAAAATAATAATTGTTTATCACAATAATAGTTTTTCCAATTTGAATATTTTTTATTCAAAATTTCTTGGCTACAACTGGGATACAGCTGGCGATATTGTTGAACCACCTAAAATAGTCCAAAGTAAAGGTTATAATACAAATATAGTAATTTTAAATTTTAAATTTTGCATTAAATTATTATATAATTTCATACTTGTAATATAAATTGCTTTTGATTTTCATCCCTTGTAAATTTGTTGTTTACTATTTTTATGGAGGATAATATTGTTGCTCAGCAACAATTCATGGTAATTATTCGAGTGATTTAAATTAAAATTCAAGTTTTTATATGAAGATCCTACCACATGGGAAATAAATAATGAATACAATAACGCCAAAGAAATATTATGAAGTTGAAAAATAAGGACCACCCTAATATATATATATATATAGTTTGTAACATAAGCTTTAATTTAACATATGTTTTAATGACGCAGTATTTCCAGAACATTTTCACAACTTAAGATGAAAAAGTTGACTTATGTAAAAAAGGTGCTATTTTGAATCCCCCTCTGCGGGCATGTAGAGGTTAAATTATCAAAATAAAAAGGGAAATACTTAAGGTTTCAATATAAAAAAAAAATTTTAAAAAAAACAATATTTACAGATTTTCTGGGGGGATTTGCGCCATTTACAGAGAATGTGGGAAATTATTTCTATTTTTGAGGAATGTCTTCAATTAGATATGATTTTTGATCTTTTGACGTATCATTGAAAAAAATCAGTTTGGTAGGAGCTGAGAAAAAGTGGTAACAAACACAAAAAAAACACATAATAATAAAATTAATATGTTCTCAGCTTCACATCAATGCTAAAAAATAACATTTAAATTTTGTGCCAGTGTTATAGATGTCAAATTTCAATTACTAACATTTAATTTTTTAATAACATTTAAGTTATATTAAAAATAATAATTATTATAAAGCAATAGATAAATTTATTATATGTTTATGCTTTATTTTATAATTTTTTTTAGAAAAAGTTATAGCACTCTTTCCATTCAATGCTGTACATAGTGATGAGTTAACTTTTCAAAAGGATGAAATTATTACACTGGTGTCAAAAGAGGAACAAGCCTGGTGGAGAGGAGAACTTAATGGAAAAACTGGCTTGTTTCCTAGTAATTATGTGGCACTTTTGTGTAAGTGAAGTACTTAAAAACTTGACTTAATTGACTGGGATAAAAAAATCATATTATTTTTAACATTTTTTAGAATACTTTATAGGAATAATTTTTTTGTTAACTAATATAATGAACTCTTCTAAATAATTAATATATATTTATTTAAATTAAATTAACTAGCTATTCTTATGAATATTTCTACTCATTTTATAATTACATCTTCTTTATGCTGTCTCTTTTGTTTATTTTTTTTATTGTAGGAGTGTGTTATACAAGTTTGTTCACTGGCTAGAAATTCATCAGAGGTCAAGCATCAAGATATACTACTATATTAATCTCAGTTATCTTTAAAATAGTTTTTAGGTTTGAAATCTTATATTTTTAAATAGAGAAAAAATTTTACATTTTAGATCTTATTTGTAAAATATTACTATTTGCTTATTTTTAATATAATTGCATGGGTTCATTAATCTCAAAAAATAAAATACAATTCATGTAATTTTATTAATTTATGAGTCAAAAACTAAAGCTATTATTATTTATTTAGATTTTTTAATTTTATTTAACTCAAATTATGAAAAAAATGTCTTAAATATAGTGATATTTATACTTTAGTGCAATATTTTCCCTCCATAGTAATTTTAATATATTTTCTTTTACTATAATGTTTTTTAATTATTGTAATATATATTTTTAATTATTTAAATATCAATTATATTTTATTTGTTAATTTCAAAATTTTTAAAGATTATTTTAATGAACTGTTTGTTATTTTATGTGATATTTTTAGTATTACTTGCTACCATATCTTATAGCATTATTAATTTTAGATTTAAATGTAGAATCAATTTTTCTTATAGTTATCTAAAAATAATATTTTGATATTTTCTCCTTGAAAATACATTTTTAAAACAAATACTGTATGATCATACAAAATCATTGATATTTTAATTATAATAAAATTATTTAAATCTTATTATTAAAACTGTTTAATTTGTTTAGATATTTAGTGAAACACGTATAAACTGACATTATTGTTATAGTCACTTTAAATGTACTAACTCTGTATTGAAAAACATTAATAAACTTCATATTATCATAAATGTGCAACCTCATTTTACTAGTTTAATTTAATAAGTTCTATAAGTTTACTTTTTATTAAAATATGATGTAACCATTCAGTTATCTTTAAACATACTTCATTTAGAGGAGTTCATTATACTACTAGTAATATTCTTTACTACAATAATAAAAATTTGAATATAATTATTGTAAAAATAAATACTGTGAATAAGTCCATCAGTATTTTGTTTATTTGTTATATGAATATAGCTGAAGTTACATTAAAAGTGACATTGAGTAAAGAAGAACGAAAAAGACAACAACACATACTAGAATTAATAACTACAGAACAAGCTTACATTGAAGATATGATTGCTGTTCATGAGGTATATCTAGGTTTTTATTTGCTTTCACTTGCAATCGGTGATTAAATTTAAGATTAATAAATTATGATAATTAAAAAACGTTATTAATGTTAAATTTTGAATATTTTAATCATATTACTCAATTTGACTAATTTTTGAAGCCATTAAAAAATAATCGAAAATTTAACATTAATAAAAACATTTTTCATTAGGAAAATATAGTAATTTCTCGAAGTATTATCATTAATTAAATTTTTTGTATTTTAAATATATTATAATAACTTTTTTTGTTATTCCAGTAAAACAAGTTAAAAAAACTTTAATGAGTATACATTTAATTATGAACAACATTTCCTAAAACGAAAAAATAGCTCAGAAGTAACAAAAAATATTAATATTTATTTGGAAAATGACTATTTTTTTTATGCCATACTAAAACCTACTAATATAATAAATATTGGACTGTTAGATTTATTAGGTTGTTCCCAAATAACGCGCCCACCAATAAACCTAATTTATTGCATTTAAACATTTTCAAGAGGTAATTTACCTCAATAGCGTATTTAGGGTTTCAGCTCCCTGGGGCAGCTTGTATTTGATGTTCCCTTTGAAAATTTTTTTTCTACAGTATTCAATCTAATGATTGGTTTGCAGCAACTTCCATGTTTCTCTATCACTAGCCTTTCTATTCAACTCTTGATATGAATTACATCCTTGATCTTCTATTATCTGACTTATGTATTGCAATCTTGATCTTCCTCTATGATTTTTTCCATCGATTATTCCTTCTAAGATTAATAATTGCAACCCGTTGTTTACTAAAGTATGATCCATTAATTAATTTTGCCTTTTCTGTATACTCTTCCATATTAATTTTCTCTTAGATACCCATTCTAAAACTTCTTCATTAGTAATTCTATCAGTTCAACTTATCTTTTCCATCCTCCTATAGCATCACATTTCAAATGCCTCTTTTCTTCTCATTTCTTCTCTTTCAATAGTCCATGTTTCGCATTCAAATAACACAATGCTCCAGATGTACGTTATTAGTAGATTCTTTCTAATATTAAGGTCAATGTTTTTTGAAGCAAAAATACTTCTATTTTTATAAATGCCACCTCAGCTTAGGATATTTTCTTTATATCTTCCTTTTTGCATCTTCCATCTGAGCTTATAGTGCTACCCAAATATATGAAATTTTTTACTTGTTCTACAGTTTCATCAATCTCAGCATGTCTATTCTGTGATCATTTACCTTTATTCCTAGCTGTAATATCTATGGTTTCTTGAATGTTGGCATTAAATAGTCTTCTTCATCTTCCTCGCCTTAATCCCAACTACTTGGGGTCGGCCACCCTTATCCTAAACTTCAACTTGACACGATCTCCCACATCATCTACGCTCACATCTGCTGTCCTCATATCGCATTCAATAACATCCCTCAATCTCTTTTTTGGTCTTCTCTACCTTTTCTTTCTTCGACATTCATTTCTATAAATATTCTTACAGCTTCCGATTCTTCTCTCCTCATAACATGACCAAACCATCTAAGTCTATTTTCTCTCATCTTATCCACGATTGACGCTACACCTATACTTCCTCTTATATCCTCGTTCCTTATCCTATCTTCTCTAGTCACACCACTCATCCATCTAAGCATTATCATCTCTGCTACACTCATTCTCTGCTCTAGTTTCTTATCAAGCGCCCAACACTGAACCATACATAATGTAGGCATTAAATAGTAAAGGTGATAATGTATATTCCTCCCAAACACCTTTTTTTATTTTGGACTCTTTTTAAATACCTCCCATTTTTATGATTGTTATTTCATTTTTGTACAATTCATTAAACAGTTTTGTTTCCGTGGTTGCAACTCCGTTCTTAACTAACTTAATTAGCGTTTTTAACATTATTTCCCAGTCCACATTATTGAATTACTTCTCAATATCAAAAAAAGCAATAAACATCGCATTATCTTTCCGTATTCTTTTTTTTTACTATTAATCTTAAAGCCAATATTGCTTTTCTCAAATCCTATATTTTTTCTAAATCCTAATTGGTCTTTTGATAGTATTTCTTCTATCTTCTTTTCCATTCTCTCATGCATAATTTTTGATAAAATCTTTGAGGCGTGCGAGAGCAAGCTAATTGTTTGATATTGTTCACACTTTTTAGCTGATGTCTTCTTTGGAATGGGAATTATTATACTCTTTACAAAGTCTGTAGGTATACCTCCCGTTTTGTAAATATATGTAATGAATTTAAATAATGTATTCACCATATTTTCTCCTACTTCCTTCCAAAGCTCGGCTTGGATCTTTCTTTGGTTTTAAGTCTCTTAATGCTTTGTCAAATTCTTCTCTTAATACCGGAAATTCTACATGCTCTTTATCTTGCTCTATATCATTTTTTTTTTAATCTGTAACAACTAGTTCTTCATCATATAGTACTTCTATGTATTCCTTCCATCTAATTACTACCTATTTCTGCTCATAAATAATTTCTCCTTTATTTTCTATTACTCTACTCTTGGGTTTACGTACTCCAAAGAACTTTTTTCACTTTCTTTCCAATGTATATTCCAAGCATTGTGCCTACTCCTTCCTTTACAGGAAGCATCGAAAAAGGTTGACTTACAAATAAACGAAGGTAAAACTGAATACATGGTGGTGGGGAGAAGATATAGTACGAGAATAGTTAACCATGAATTCAATCGAGTCATACAATTTAAATACTTAAGTTCGGTATTAACCGAAAAAAATGAAACTGAAAAGGAAGTAGCAACAAGAATCCTATCGGGAAAAAAATGTCTTTACGGACTCACAAAAATACTAGGGTCACGGTTACTGTCGAGAGAAATAATGATACAATTGTATATTACCCTATTACGACCTATAAGTACATAAGGAGCAAAAACATAGACATTAAGAAAAAAGGAAGAAAATAAATTGTTTATTCTGTAGAGGAAAAACCTAAGAAAGATCTTTAGTCCAGTAAAAGACGAGGAAGCTGACTGATGGAGAATAAGAAAAAACAAAGAATTGGAGGAACTATTTCATCATCCAAACATATTAAATATAATCTAGAGTAGGAGGTTATAGTGGGCTGGACATGCCTGCGCGTAGTCAGAACCCATTACTAAACATGGTATTGGCAGAAAACCCAGAAGGGAAAAGGCCTCTTGGACGATCCCGTTTAAGATGGGAAGACGTGGTAAAGAGAGAGGTAGAATCGTTAAATGGAGGCTATGAATGAAAAACAAAAGCACCGGACAAAAAGACTTGGAGGATTGGTTGTTTGACGGTATGGCCCTAGTAGCCGTTAATACACAAGAAAGAAAAAGGCATACAAAATTTTTTTTCAGCTTAGCCAGATAAAAAATTCTAGATACCCTAGTAATATAACCCTTAGATATCTCACTTTTTAAAAAACATAAAATATGAAAAACGCAATCCTGGGTGGGTTCCAAAATATATTTTAAAAAGATAATTTGTAGAAGTCTATAAAATAAAACTGTTTAATAATAAATTCAATTGAATGAATCAATTTTTGTTAAGTTAATAATTTTTTAATTTTTCATTGGTTAATCTCGTGATTTAAATCTGTATATTATGTAATTTTTGGAATTTGGATATATAATTGACCTCACCACTGTTCTATGTCTTGGATTAGTAATTTTTGAAAAATTTGTGTTGCCTTAGTGTGGAAATTCTTACGATTTAGTTATAACTTTTTTTTTTTTTTTATTACCGTATTAAATGCATAAATATATGATTGATTTTTTTATTACAACAACATAAAAGTTCATATCTTTTATAGTCTTAAAAAAATGAAGATCGTGTATTTATAGAGTTAATAGTGATAAAGGAACTATACCCATAACAAAGTTTTTGCAACAAACTGATGTTTTATTATTATTATATATATATTATCAATTATTTAATTTATTTATATATGTAATTATTGTACAATACTTACATATTGATTTACAATGATTTTCATATTTTCAAATTCATATTTCTAAAAGATTCAATTAATATAATACCATAAATTGTCATTTTATAATTTTTTTAAGAAGCTAAAAATATAGTTTATGAACCTTTTCATTAACCATTCTGACCATTTTTTCTCATAAAACATTATTTTTTAATTGTTAAAGAGCAGCCTCTTATGATAATATGTTGTTATTATTGATATTTTATAAATAAAATGTACAAAAAAGTAATGTATTTTAGGTTTTTGAAAAACCTTTGTATGAAAGCAAAGTTCTTACTACTTCTGAAATACGACAAATTTTCATAAATTGGGAAGAAATAATTGAGTGCAATCAAATGTTCTTAACGTAAGTTATATTTTTACTGTATAATTTGGCATCCAGGGCAAAATAGAGCAAAGTGACTTGAGTAGGCAAAAATCCAGGCTTAATGTGACCATTGTGAAATTTTCCAAGAAAAAAATTATTAATCAACAAAAAAAAATTCATTATAATGTTTTAAAAATATATACAATATGTTTTGTTGTTTCGTAAATGCTATTTTCCGTTTTTTTGTGTTCATCAGAATATTGATATAATATAGGTCACTTGTGAGTTTGGATTTTTACCATTCTTTTTAAATTATAACTTAATTAAATTATAATTCTTTTAAATAATCCATAAACTGAAAAATAATGTTATTAAAAAATGGCTTTTTTACCAAAACATATATAGGTATCATTCTTCAAACTTGAAACTTAACTTTCTTTTAATAATTTTTTTGTCACATTGATCCTTTCTGTTCTTGGTATCTCAATTTAATTTTAGTAAATAATGTTCATTATAACACAATTTAATACTCTAAAAAAACATAAATACAGAAATTAAAGAAATTGAGTATCTCTCTGGGTTTTAGGTTTTTAATATCTTCTTTTTCAGGAAAAGGTTTATTTAAGTAGTGTGATCTTAGTATGGACAAGGCTTCACATTCGCACATAATGTGGAATGAGTCTTCCTCTTCTACTCCACACTTCCTGCACAATGGTGATTCCAATACTCCCATTGCGTTAAGATGTTTAAGCAAGTGACCATGTGTTGTCAGTAGAACAGTCAAAGTGCTCATTTGATGTTTAGTCATGTTATTAAGATCACCCAACAGTATACCAGGGGTCTTGATAAATATTTTAGATTGTGTAGGTACTACCAAGTACTTCCAGATTTCTCTGTGTTATTTTCTGCACCAATTCTTGGGTAGCGCTTTGAAGGACTGCTCAGTGAGTTCTACCACTGTTTCTGGTTCAACATAGGTGTTCTCTGCTCCTTTCCTGGCAAGAAAGTCAGTTCATTTCCAGTGACACCATTGTGTCCTGGTACCAACACTAGTGTAACTTTGTTGAACTTCGATAGTGATTCTAAAGTTTCCCTGCATTCAAGGACTAGCTTTGAATTCACTTGATCGTTACAGAGTGCCTTCAAAGCCGCTTGACTATCACTTAAGATAGTTATCTTTCTATTTTTGTATACGAGCAGATTCTGAGCCCCTACCAGTATCGCCCTCACCTCTGCTTGTAAAACAGAGGGTGTTGTGCCCAATTACATACTGACATTTATTCGTGGCTTTAAGCCCCAAATTCCAGCACCTACCTTTCCTGGTTTTTTGGATCCATCTGTATATATCACAAATCCTCCTTTTTCAGTCAGGTGGTTAATATTCCATTATCTTCGTGCAGTGATCTCCACTTTGTAGGGAATGTTATTCTTAAGAACCCTGTAGTTGTCCCAGTTTGTTCTTTTCGGGTTCCTATAGTACTCCATCTCAACTTTGTTAATTTCTAAAGTGAATCTTAAGTGCCTATGATCAGAAAGAGAAGATTCGGAGGATACTTTCCACCCTTTTATCTTTTGAAGTAACCCTTTTAAGCAAACTGACAGATCAATGACTTCCTGCCTGTTCCTGATAACAAAAGTAGGTTCACTACCTCTATTCAGTATACTAAGGTCTGTAATCATCAATAGATCCATTATAACCTCTCCTCTTTGGTTGATGTTCTACTCCCTCAAATAGTGTGGTGTGCATTAGCATCCATACCTAGGATTAGTTCTAATTTTTCATTTTTGTAATAATTAAAGAGCATAGTTAGGTCCCTACCTGGGTCTGTGACCTCATATGGTAGGTATCCTGAAGCTACTATAATATTTTTACCATCATTTAGTGTTACTTTAATAATAGTCAAGTCTGCACTTGATAGATTAAGTATCAAGCTGGCTTTAACTTTATTATTAATCAAATTGAAAGTTCTTGGTTTATCTGCTTGTTTATGAAACAGTTTAAAATTTCTTAGATTTAGCCCCTTAATCTGGTCACCATTTATCCATGGTTCCTGAATAAGTGTTATTTGTAAGGGTATTGTATGCCTCTCAGTTAGGGTCCTTAGTAATACTCTACTGGCCTCTTTACTGTGATGTAGGTTTATTTGCGTGAATTTAATTCTATTGTCTGCCATTCAGAAAAACTCATGTTGACGCTTGAGAAAGCACGCTGTACTGGGTGTGATACAGGTGTCTGATACAGTCCCTGTGTCACACAGCCCTCTCTGTGGGTGGTGTCCCCTCGCTGTCCCCAGGTGGCGACCGTACCTTAGGTTCGCTCTTCACATTTGCTTTTGGATCCGTGGAGAGGTTCCCCCCTCAGCTGTGGCCATTATTGAGGGTGGCGGTTTCCTGGGTCCCTTCCCTTACGTAACACACTTTCTCCCTTCCCTTTCGAGGCAGGAGTGAAGTGTGTCCGTTTGTTTCTTACCTGTGCCTTACCTCCGTTTCCGAGTGGCACTCGGCCTTCCTCTTCCCAGATTTTTGAGTAGTAGATTTTTTCACATCCTTCCGGGCTGGTGGCTGCTTGGCAACATAGTCTGTGAAGCAAACTCTGCCCATTTCAAAATATGGACTGCGCTTCAGTTTCTCCAGTTTGGCCATGCTCTTTTCATCCACACTTAGGAACAAAGTTTGTCCTTTCGGGCCAACCTCTATCTCATGGTGGACTTTCCAGATCGCCGTGTTCAGCTCTGGGTTTTGTTTTGCCGAAATTTCCAAAATCTTCTTAGACTCTTTTGGGAGCCCTGGTATATGAGTGACCATCCGTTTGTACTTGATCGGGTTGTAGGCTTCCAATTGGAGTTCTTCACCGTCCTAAGGTTTTATCAGGTTGACACGATCAGTGAGCCACTTAAGAGAGCTCTCTTGGGCTGCACTGATCACAAGTGCTCCATCAGTGAGACTGGTGTCTTCAAACCTTGGTATGTCGGTTCCATCAGTATCCGACAGTGTCAAGTCTCCAACACAAGACTCAATGAGTAGCCCCTGCTCTGTGGTCAACTTGTTAGTAGGGTAGCCTGCAAGGACCAAAGCCACTTTTTTATCATCGGTTACCACGTCCCTGTAGGTCGGTACCCAATGAGTTTTCTTACATAGAGGTTCTTGACCCTCGTCCTCAGGTTTTTAAACTTCGGTTCCCTTTGACTTTTTCAAATCATCGGTTCCCTTGTCTCCCTCCTTTGGTATGTTCTTCTGTCCCTCCATGATTGCTCGGCTCCTCTTCAGCTTCCGCCTCTGACTGCCGCTCAGTTTCTCAGGTCTAAGTTTTAGACCCTCGATTTTGTTAGCTACTGCTCCCAGTTGATCTTGCGATTGCTGATCTACATTTGTTGACATTGCTGTCTCTTTGCTAGCACACGGTTCACCAAGTGTCCCGTTATTCGCATTGATACCTTCAAGTTCGGCGATTCTTCTGCGAAGAGTCGTCAGTTCACGATCTTGTTTCGACAAGTTGTCCATTAGATCCCTGATCGTCTCAAGTTCGTTGTTTTGTGGTTTTTCTATGTTTTTTGTCCATATAGTTCCCACGAATAGTCGAGAAATAAAGGTCCGCCGCAGCAGAGCTCGATACTGTGACAAGGCTGTATACTCTATGGCGCACCAGGTGCCATAGAGGATCCCAATGGTCACTTTACCTTTCGGCTAACTACCCTGTGACAAGTTAGCAACCCTTTCACTTGGTATGGCTGGGTTAGGGGGGCCTATTCGCTGTTAGAAAACATGTATGCCCAGGCCTACCGGTCCCAACTAACCAAAGTTATGACCGGCTAAGAACAGTGGTACGTGTTGCCACCCCCACTGAAATAACTAGGGTCCGCGGGGTGGTTAGGCCCGTAATCCTTGCGGATTCCCCTGCGTGAAACTAAGCCCCTTAATTACGCCTATAATTGTAACCCAAAATAGTACTAAGAAGCCACAATCTTAAAAATTATTCTATTTTTTGTAAACAGATTAACACTTGTATAATTACGAGCTGTTATATCCCTAACAACAAAAGTAATTATATAACGAATATGCAATTTATTTTCTTTAGGAAGGAGAGGTGAAAATTTTTTTTATGTATATCCTAATTTGGACGTAAATCTAATTACGCTCTTGCAGATTATTTAAGTTACTTTTCTCATATCTGGTAACGGCACTTATGATAAAGTCTAATTAAAGACTTCGAGGCCCTAGTAAAACAACTTACTTAAATGAAGTTCTTTTAAAACAATAATGTTTTGATGATAACATTTTTTTCTAATCTTCTGTAATTTGATGCCAAGATCTATAGCTCTTATTTGCAAATTTGTAACTGAACCATTTACTTGAAAAATTACACGAGTTTAAATTTAATACTAGTAGAACAAAGTAAAAAAAAAAACTGTTTAAGCTATCAATAGTTTGTTGCGTTAAAACTGAAATAGCTAAAAGAAAGTATTTGATGAGATACACCGAGTTAATAGCAAAAAAGAATATATAAATGACCCTATTTTAACTTAAGGGAACGCGTTTAAAAACTCTGATAATGCGTCATTTTTACAATACAGGGTTAAATTTACGAATTACTACAATAAGTTTATACCTAGAATCTTAATCAGACACATGGGCGTCTGCAGGCAGATGCATAGGGATCAGTTGCCTTCACCTTCTTGACTTTTTAATTGGATAATTTTCATCATTTTGAATTTTGAATTATGTTATTTTTATTAAATTATATCATTAATACCATGATAGCATTATTTTTATAAATCAATCAATGCATGTAGGTTTGGTTTTTATTTAATTTGTAGATACTTAATTTCATTAAAAATACATAAAACTACCAAAGAATTTTCTATTCATCATTTTTTCCAACGAAGCCATAGACGCTTATTAGATTAACATTTTTAAGCGTACTTATTACATGTTCTCCCTATCTGTCCATAAAAAACATTTTTCCCTTGGAAACTAATTTTCTAAATAAGTATAATTTGTCTCTCAAATAAGTGTTTCAATTATATTCTACTAAGAAAAACTATTAGTTACTAATGACACTCAAAATATCAATTTGAAAGAAGTGATTTATAATTTGTTTATGTATTCATAATATTTATTATACTTAAAAAAATTTATAACGTATGTTATAATTTTTAATGTTAAAAATGTAAAACATTGAAAATGAATTTTATAATTATATGAAGACTTGAAATCAATGTTTAACTTTTTGGCAATCAGTAAAAATTTGATAAAATGATTAAATCGCAGAGAAGTATCCTATGTGCTAAATCTAATATTATGTAAAATATTAGATTTATTTTATAATATATAATATTATATATAATATAATATTAGAAATATTATTTTTCTTGTATAATATAAATTGGTACAGACATAATGTATTGAGCATATGAATTTTTGAAAATTGTAAATAATTCAGTCAACTTGTTTTCATATTATAAAGAATTAAAAAATAATATCATAAGAAAAACATTTTAGTATAGTTTTCAAATAAAAGAAAAATTTTTATTGTTAAATAGTTTTATATTTATTTAGATCATTACGAGTACGTAAAGATATGAGTCCTGCTGGAGTTGTGCGAATAGTTGGTGATATTTTATGTGAACATGTAAGAAATCTTTTTGGTTGATCTAACTTTTTGTACATTTTTATTTAAATGCTTAAATGTAAATTATGTTGTAATTTTTAGTTTCCAAGGATGACACGTTATGTACGATTTTGTAGTTGCCAGTTAAATGCTGCCATAACATTACAAAAATTAACTGAAACCAATGTTGCTTTTCGTGAAATCGCTAAGCGCTGTCAAAGCGATTGTCGAACAAAAGGATTACCTCTTAGTTCTTTTCTTATAAAACCTATGCAACGAATAACAAAATATCCATTACTTGTTCAAAAGGTAAATTATGAACTCACGCTAAAAAAATTATTTGAAAGTAAAAAATCAAGGATTAAAAACCTAGCGCAGTGGGGACGTGGCATAGTTGGGTCCAGTATACATGACATCTAACAGTGATTAAAATCACTATCATAAAAAACGCTTCGATGAAAATCTGTAAATAGTGTTTAATTTGAAAAAATTGGTGGATTATTCCAAAAGCAACATGATCTCCTATTTCCTTATTTGTGTCCTGATTACAAGTTTTATTATTTAGAATTATAATATATGAATAAATATTTATTATTGCAATTAAATATAGTATGTGATTGATATATATCAATCACATTTATAAATTATTAAATATATTTAATAATTTAGTATTGTAATTTTATCAGAGACTTTATAAAAAATTATAAAATAGTTATTACTTTTATGACAAACGTGTATAAAAATTAACGGGCTTAATATAAAAATTTTCTGAAAAATAATTTGTTGTTTATTTTGAATTAAAGGTTTTAGAAGGAATTTTCATCAGATTCAAAAATATACTATTATTATTTAATTTTTTCGTGCCAATTTCAAATCTGCAATTACATTTTTTCTATCACCACTAAATTTTAATATTATTACTAATTAGTTAAAAACTATAGAATATAATTATAAGGAATATAGTTTTGAATATTTCAATTGTAGCATCTATTTTAACAACAAGATTTACTTAAAAATAATTAATATTTTATAAGTGTAATATATGTATAAATAATTATTATAGCAATTAAATATAGTATCAAAATGATATTTCATTATTTAATAGTGTAATGTTTTACAAAATTCGTATTTTTTTTGTTAACTTTGATTTCTGTTTTCACTATGAAAACAAAATAAAGTCCAATTTATTTTTTCATATTAAAGTAAATCACATAAGCTTTAATTTAAGATATATATAATAGTGTCAGTATTTCCTGTACACTTTTAAAAATTAAGTTGAAAATATTCTTTTTTCTAGATGCATTTTTAAGTTTTGAACCTCCCTGCATAACCCTTTATCTTCCGATTTAAAAAAAAAAACCCAGCACAGGGGGGTCGCGGCACAGTGGTGACGTGGCATAGTTGGATCANAAAAAACCCAGCACAGGGGGGTCGCGGCACAGTGGTGACGTGGCATAGTTGGATCAAGTATAATGATATCTGACAGTGATTAAAATCACTATAAAAAAAAAACGCTTCGATGCAAATCTTTAGATAGTGTTTAATTTTAAAAAATTAGTGGATTATTCTAAAAGCTTCATAAACTGCTAGTTCCTTATTAATATCCTGATTAAGACAAAGTATGTAGAATAAAAAAGAGATTATTAGAAAATAGTATTTCCCATAAAAAAATTATATTGATCAATACACTTTTCAATAAGTTATAGCATTATTATGTTAAAAATGTAAAAAATAAAATTGAGAATTTTCACACAATAATAGCCTTTGGTAGCCATTTTCACCTTGAAGATAAAATAAAGCCCGAAATTTTTTTTTACTATTATAAAGTATATTACATTAGCTTTAATTTATGATATATATAAAAGTGTCAGACCTTCCGGAACATTTTCAAAATTTAAGTTAAAAAAAT